GCTGCGCTTGAAGTGAAGTGAAAGTGGCTGGAAAACCCTTCGACGAAAACTGCAATGCCCTAGCCATCAGGTATAGCGAAGAAGATGAGGGGGATTCTGGAATGGACAGCCATGCAAGCGGCCAGTCATGGATGATGCAAATCCTGACCTCTGTGGTCCCGTACCATGCAGATGCCAAGGCATCCTTGCGGACCAGAGGTGTTTCTAAATCATCGTTCTTAGGGGTTCAGAAGTTTGTTTTGCGGAGTCGGTGGTTGAATCGTTGGGGCCAATGTTATTGAACTCCAGGGTCGTTTCGGTTTCGGAGTCGAGGCTTTAAAAGCCCTGCGTTTTTGTTTGAAAGCAGTTGGCATTCTAAGCCTGCTCAGACTGGCGTCTGATTTATCCATGCGGCCATCAGGGGCATCAGTTTTTCGAGCACATGGACGGCAAGACCTATGCTACACCGATGCTGGCTGCTCTGGTGGTGGTCGAACTTAGCGATTTGATTTTTGCAGTGCCTTTGACGAATTCATTCGCCGAGCCCTGGTGCAGTAACCCACTAAGTACAGGTGTCTGGAAAGTCAATTGTAGCAATATCCTCGTATAGCAATCCTCATTCTGTGACACTATATACTTCAAGTTCTACACGCCCCCGCATCCGCTTCATTAGCTCACTTTTACCTCGCGTCAATGTCCAGCAACATGCGAATCACATCGATTCGCAAAGCCAAGCATTCCACTCAGGTGGATTCTATCCCCTGCATCCTGGGCATCACCCATGACCTCTTCCTGGTTTTCAGCTCCAACATGTTTGCAGTTCTGGGGCTCCGCTCTCTCTACCTGCTCCTAGCCGAGGCTTAGCCGTCTCAGCACATTCGTAGCTATTGTCAAGCCCCGAATACTGTGACTGCGTGGCCCAGGCATTCTTGTGAGTCTGAACAGTGAAAGTTAGCCCGAGGCATACAAGGGTTTAAGTCCTGCCTTTCGGGGTGGCTGCAATAGTCCACATCCGTAGCCCCTATAGTCCCTCTAAAGAAGGTTGTGTAGCATGGCCCTAAACCCCGGTTCTATGTACCGTATTGAGAGCCTTTTATCTCATTCCCGATATCCCATGATAAAGCCTATCCCCTCGTGCAAATTGAAAGAAAGATCAGCTTTGAAGGCCCTGGACAAAGTCCAGAACCTGAAGACCGGGCTTGCTGCCGTGCTGGCGCTGCCTGCCCGCGTTTAGGACTTTAGGACTTAGGAGAGTTTTCGGCCGGTTCCGCGAGATCGACAGGGAATTTCAGGGGTGGTTGGGGTGCTTCGGGCCTTTGAGGACATGGGCTTGAGGCGTCTTTTTTGCAGTGTAATATGCCTCAGTTCGAGCCCAGACCCTCAGCCCTAAATCGTGTCGGGGGCCGGTGGCCCAGGTTTGTGGGAACGAAGATGATGCTGGGAGACTACTGGCCTTTATCCCAGTCAGTGTCCCTGCTCATGATTTTCGGGATTTTGGGCGCGACCGTTGCGTCCGGCATGATGGGAATTAAGTTCGGGAAGAAGGCCGAGGCGATCTTGCCAATGTGATCAAGGATCACATCGCTGCGACTCGCCTCACCGATGGCCTCTTCCTTCCGTAAATGAACCCTTCATCCTCCCCCCCTCGAAGCCTTGAGGCCTTAAGGTAACCCGAACCTGGTAGCAAAACCCGAAACCTCCGGTAGTGATTGCGCAAGCCGCATATCGATGTGGCCAGACTGTGGCATGCTTGAAAACTGGCAGCGAAAATTGGAGACCAGAGAGTGCGCGGGTGCGTGGTTGGTTGGTCGGTTGGTTGGTTGGTGGGTTGGCGGGTCAGTCAGACGCAATGTGAGAATGCTGGTCGAAGCTTCCCAGGCTTTTCTGGACCGGTGCCTTCAAATCTTTCAGCCCTAAACCCAAAACCCTAAACTGAGACCCCATAACCCGAAGCTTCTATATTTATTTTTATGATTATATATATATAGAGATAGATCGATATAGACACACACACATATATATATACACACACACATAGAATACTGTATATACTATACACACCGAACCTCACGCCGTCTTTTCTTTTCGTCTCGTTCTGGGTGCAGGAGGGAGGCCTGGACCAGGAGACCCAAAAGGTCGGGAGCTGAGGAACCCTATGGAGGCCTGAAAGTACTTCTATACTTGGAGGTCCAGGGGACTTAGCAAGTCCGTTATGAGTAGGGTTATAATTGGGGTAACTCCATTTAGAGTCGCTGCAGACCGGATGCAAAAAGGGTACTTACAACTCTACTTGTAACTTACTTACTAAGTCCACTGGACCTCGGTGTGGTACCTGATAACGTTTTTTTGTATAGGAGCACAAAGGCCGTAAGGGAAGCGAGCGGCGGGAGAAGCTGGGGGAACCCAGGATTGATCCACCTTCTACTGCTGGCTGCCACATAATGAATACAGGGGTACTATTCCGCAGGGTTTCATCATATGTATATATATATATATGCAATGGGGTACTATTCTTGAGTTAATCGGAAACGCTCATAGAGTGTATGGAGGGTGTGCCCGTCAGGTTCAATGTGGGAGCTGTCTATTCGCTGCTCACTGTTGACTTTTTCGAGCAGATACCTCCAAGTTTCTCTGCACAGCATGCAAGGCTTTTTCACATGATGCGATGCAGTCAGGTGTGCAAGTCAAGGGCAGTGGCGATATTGGCAGCTGCACTGACTGCCCTCGACCCGAAACACTGCCATTTGCCGCACCATTTGGTACGACGCAGAACGCCTATTTCTCAGGGTTTCTTGAACATCGTCCTTAATTGCATTAACTCCCGAGAACTATCGCTTGCCGCCTTGGTTCATAGGGTATATAAGGTATATAAGTTGGGATGTAGTGGAGTCGTAGGCGAACAGACTGAAAAGATTCTATGTGGCCACCCGGCAAGCCACGTTGGGCCCTGTTCGAAATCTGTTCGATAGGGGCTTTACGCATTCAACTATGGTTTTGGTCTTATTAGGCTCTAACCACACGGGAACTTTCGGGTTTGAGCCTTAATAGCAGATGAACAAGAGCAAGCAACTTCAAAACTTACTGCCCCGCCCTAAGCCTTAAAACCTACACGCCCTAAACCCTATAAGCCCTTTAATATTTAAGCCCTATAATCCTTAAACCCGGCGAAAAAGTGCCCAGGCGCTGCTTCGGGTCGAGTACTTGAAGCAGCAGCTCCAAAAGCTGCGAGACACGGGAGACTCCCTGAAGAGTCCGCGTCTCATGTGTTTTGGGGACTTTAGGTGTTTAGGGATGTTTAGGGTCTGTTATAGGGTTTAGGGCCTCATATGTTTTGGGGACTTTAGGTGTTTGTGGTTTAAATCCGAGGTAGCATTAGGGAGACTGCTCAAAGGGGACCCTTCTGAACCCTACTTTATGGCTCTCTTCAGGGACCTGATTGAGAGGGTCGAAATCCCCCAAGGGTCCCCCTAAGCCTAATTCCCATTAAATACGTGGCCGAAGAGCTTCAGGGCATTGCAGTTCCTACTACAGAAAATGGGTAGAAGTAGGAAGGCCATGCTTGGGGAGGATGCATGGAGACAGATATGGTTTAGAGTCTGGGGCTGAAGCTTGCTTACTGTTGCGTTAGCCGCTTGCGCAACGAACGTTACAAAACAGATAGAAGAACGCACAAACAATAGTGTTGCCTTTGAAGGGACTTTGCCGTTAGTGCCGCGACACCGCATATCCGGGCTTCAAGTGCTTGACTTCTTTGACCTGCAGGACTGATTGCGTCGATTTGTATTACCAGTGACTATTACTTGGTGTCACGGTGGTAGCATCTTTTGACATGGCTAGTAAAAAGTAGAACTATGCCTACGCATGATTGTTACCCGTACGGATTGCTCCTTTGCAGTCGCAGTCAATCCAGGCTTGAAAGCCCTCAGAGACAAAATCGGATTTCAAGCCGGATGAAGCCTAAAGTGTACGGTTCTGGCAGCCAGGCGAGCTGGAGGCAACGGTCGCCAAGTGCGTAAAGTTCGACCTCGAGAAAGAGGAGGCACTGCTGTGTGCGCGACAGCAGTCAGTAGGGCTTGCGGCTTTGGGTTTTAACATCGGGATCCGAGTCCCAAATGCCCCCAGCCCGTCAATATCAAGCACATGAGTTCATTGACTTCGAGTCGAATCTTGAGAAAGCCATCGGAACAGATTTTGGGGTTTGGGGTTTAGGGCTGGGCGAAGTGGAAAGCCTGTTGCAAAAAGGCGTTGTCAACTCGTCAGGTTGCGCGGCTTCACGCGCGTGCCCAAGAGTTGCTTCGCAAGCCAGGCCGGATCCGTAGGGCCCTGCGCCTCGCAACCCCAAGCCCGTTTCGGTTTCGGAGGGGGGAGGGGTTGCGGACTTCGTGCTGCGACTATGTACATCGCAACCTATACGTATATTTAAGACGTTACATGTATCTTTCTGGTCTGGTACTGCATAGGACATTGTAGAACAATCGAAAGAATCTACATAGGGTACATTGCAACGGTCACATATATTATAGCCAAAACTGGCAGGCTCTGAAGTGTTGCTTCAAATGCAGAGGCTGTGTACGTAGTGATGCTGTGTAAGGAGGACACAAAGAGCCATCACGCTTTGTCGAAGCACAGCTCCAACCTCGAGCTTGAACGCTTCAACCTTTTGGATAGTTCTCCAAAATCGGTTGCCATTTACAAGGGTGCCGTACTATTTTGGGGACCTAAAAAAGGATTCTAATTGAGAGAACTACCCATGCGGTGTGTTTCAGGGTCGTGCTTGGAGCGGCAAGCTTAGCATTGTGGTTGGAAGCCGTTGATGTTCAACTCCTCCCGTAGCCAAGATGTTGGTACGGTAAACACCTGAGTAAAAAAAGACGGCTTCGTCGTTAGAGGTGAGGAGAAGGTCGTATACATGTGTTGTACACTTGTGCGTCGTAACTACTTTGGTCATCCTCAACGGAGGGACCCTTGCCGACCCTGGCCCACAAAAGCTACGCAGTTGTAGTCAGATCAACCGCAGAACGCCTGCAACAAGCGTTTTGTCAACAAGACTCCATTGGTCGAGGCCGACAGGGCTACAGCAGCCCGACAGCCAGCTAGGGGCTCAGACCATCTTGCCATGCTTCGCCTGATCGATATGAACAGTCTTAACAGCTTTTGAATGAGCAATGTGTCAATGAGCGCTTGACGACTAATGGCAGAGAACAGATCACGATTGAATCAGTCCCCCGGGAGGCTCCAAGCCCGACTTAGACCGGCCGCTGCCAATAGAGCCGATGTAGCACAAGCACCAGTATAGATCGCAGTATGCATGGTTCTGAAGTAGCAGTAGCAACAGTGCAGGCTGACTGCGGTCCCCGCAGCTGAGCCACGGCCCCCTCCTTTCGTTCAGACATGACGGCCCCAGGCCCTACATCCTGAGTCGGGCTTTAGCTGCATGGCATGGGCCCGTCTAGCACCACCAAACTTCTTGGGCTGGGCTCACGGTTTGGGGCTTAGGGGGTTTGAGATCTAAGAACTAACAAGCAGGCTGAAGGTGTTTTTGGCATTCTTGACATGTCTCACTGGCGGCATTGCCATCTTTACCCTGGTTGCTCCATGTCAATTGAATTGAACTTTGGTCGTACCTGAAATCAATCGCCATGGAAGTAGAAGTCATGCATGGTCCGCTATCGCCACAAGTTTTAAACACTTTTGCAGACGTTGTGAGAAGTTAAGCATCCAGCAAAGAGGGATAGCTGCAATAATGACACTTACCATCGTCGCTAACAGTAGATTACGATTGTTAGTGTTTCTGTTCGTGTTGTGAATCAGCATTTGTGACGCAGGCAGTGTTCAGAATCTGCGCATGGCCACCCTTAAATAATGAAGGGCCTGATGATAACCACAATTTATTTCTGAGAGTTCCTAATTTTATAGCACCACACAAGTCATCTTTATAGAGACTCTTCCATGGAATCCGAAAAGGAACGCCTTTTCCAATTATCAAGGCATCCCATATTCTTCGAGGTCGCCTCGAAGTTAGTCAACAGCATGAGCCCACGACTGAGGGCTCAGGGTTTAGGATTTCAGGGTTCGGACGTAGTGTTTAAAGTATAGGACTTTGGGGTTAACGTTTAGGGCTTAAGGTTCTGAAGCCGTCGGCTGTTGATGCTCTTGGAGCACCTGGCTTGCTTCGGCGGTACTTGCATATCGAGCCCCTCATGGATGTTTTCGAGCAAAAGCAGTGCCTACAGCAACAGACTGCTTGCAGAAGGGGTCCGTGGGAGCCTGACGGACCGAATTCAATTGGGTAGTTCTCTAAATTAGGGTCTCCTTTAGGGTCCCTTCTTTATAAGGGTGCTGTACTATATTGGAGACTTAAAAAGGGACCCTAATTTAAGAAAACTACCCACTGGTCACCGGCAGGCAGTGTAGAGCTCGAACCTGTGAGCGGCACCGTTCAGGGTTTAAGGTCTACGGGTCGCAAGTTGAAGTAGGGTCAGGTCAGTCAAGTGTTCCAAAATGGATGGAGTAGAGATCCCCAAATCTTTAGCATCTTCAGGATACGCACAATGTGGCTTCTCCTCAAGCCTCAAGCATCAAGAGGTCCGCCACGCCTTAAAGCCGTTTCTTTTGAGTTATTCTGCGGAGTTCCATATCTAGGGCGGCGTACGCTGTTTGTTGTTTTCATGAGATATTAGTGTGAGTTGACACCCTCGCATTTTCTGTCACAGTGCGCCCTTAAGTACCGGCTATCACTATATTCTCGGATGCACGGGTAGTGTTCACTGCTCGATACGTTTCCATACAGTTTGTGTGCACTACGCGCTTCATTCCGGTAGCACTGAATGCCTGAACTCGGTGAGTTTCACTCAAGCCTGCCACTTGCACAGCATGCTGGGAGCATTTCAGTCGAAGCTAATTTGGCCCTGTTCCAGGATCAGGGTGTGGCGCCCAGACCTTGCAAGGTTTAGGAAAGCTTAGGCTGCAGAGTTCCGGTTTCGGGTATGGATACAGGTCAACTGCCTGGGGTTGTCGGCTTGGCAGCCCTAACTTCAGCTTGATGATTACAAGGTGCCCAAATGCTTTAATGTTCATAGATGTTTTTGCGTTGCTATGATTAACTGATAAGGCTCCGACTGATTGTTAAGCCTCTTTTGCTATGGTTCCAAGCGCGCTTATTCCTCAGCTACTATTTCGCATCAGTCTTGCTGGGGGGTGCTGAGAAACCTCACCAGGCACAACCCCCAAACCATTGACCCATCGTACTTCAAGCTCTCCCAGATGCTTGGTTGCCGATGCAAAAGCACGGTACCAGATGGCAATGGCTTTCCCTGTGTAGATCGCAATCATAATTCTCGAAAGGTGCAGTTATCTGCGAAGCTTAGTGGCTAGGAGGTTTTGAGAGGTAGGACATAAGACAATAGAGGTACATGCACGTATGCACAAGAGATGGCCACACCACCGAGAGGAAAAAAGATGCACATGTAGCTTGGCGCTTGCAATCTTGTGCTTGAGCAACCTACTCCATACCCTCCCCCCATGAGTATCGTTTAAACTCTGGCATAGCAGCTCGATGTTAGTTGTCTTCGTGCAGAGTGAGCTGCCCCCCAATCCCGAACTCAGTCTCAGTCCAACCGGTGGCCGTGGCATCAAGGCAACCAATTTCCCATGCAGCCTGGTGCAGACGCTTGTACGCAGGCCCATGGGACTGAGCGTGGCTGGGGAGAATGAGCCACTTTAGAAAGGTTCATGTGCCACCTGACAGTGTAGCAGTGTGGCTTATGGGCTTATGGCTTGTCATGAGCACAGGCAGTCACGCCAGCATGTCCGTCATCTGCAGGCACAGCCAGGACAGAAAGAATGTGGCCTGCATCTTGCATGCACAATGGTGGCTGACAGTGGAAACCCATCTCAGGTTCATATTCCTTTAATTCGTCGGTGAGTATTATTCTTGTGTAGGGGATGCGCGATTTAGCTGATGATCTTCTCTCTCCGAACGCTTTGAAAGCGGTGTACTCCACCATATACCCACAAGGTGTGGCTACCAGCAGCAGTCAGAGGAGGCACCTCCCGCTGGTGGTTCGATCCTCTTTCACGGGGGCAGACTAAGGGCGTGTGGCAGCCTACACCGAGAGCCGTGCAACTGGACACCCTCTACCTACACCTGTAGTTGTTGTCCTTCTCATCTTCATGTTCACTGCCTTGCACGCCTACCTGCCGCCCTTGAGTGCTCAAACTCGATCCCAAGCTTTAGTTGGAGTAAGCAAAGCTTCTTGGACATGGCGATGTGGAGCTCCTTGCTCCTCTTGGTCGTGGGAGTCGCAGCCCACAGTGGTACCATGCCCGAGCAGGGGAAGCGATAGCATAGGGGCCTTAATGATTCGAACAAAGCTCGGATGTATATTATGTCGCGCTTACTATATTTACTATCAGGAACCCTAAGGGGTAGCACTACTTAGGTTTATCAACTCCAGGATTGGCCACTTGTAACGAAGACCTGCCGGTCAACCTCACACACCTAAACCGCAAATCATCTTACAAAACACCCCAAAGCCCAAAAAGCCCCGACCCCCCAAAACCCTAAACCCTAAGCCCTCTACGTAAACCCTAATCCCGACACCCCTCGACCCTAAACCCTAACGCCTACAACAGCCCTTTAAACGCTGATGCGCCTGAGCCCGGAAGCCTTCGAACTCTGAGAACCAGGAGAAAGCATGGGCCCAGGCGCCCAAGAAGTTCATTGCTCTGTGTTTTGAAGCCTTGCTTAATCTTCTTGTCCCTAGAAGATACATACACACACACATATATATATATGTATGTATATGTACACGTATATACATATATATATATATACATTTCATTTACATACTATACATGTATATGCAAAAGCTATCAGTTTATCTATCTATGTAACTATCTATCTATTTATCTGTTTATTTATTTATTTATTTTCCTACCTACCTACCTACCTACCTACCTACCTACCTATCTATCTATCTATCTATCTATCTACTTATATATTCAGATACACACATTTTTATGACTGTCAACCCCAAAGTCCTCTGAGAGACTGGTCATACTCCTTCACATTCGGGCTACGGTTTCCGGGGCTCGGATTGTCATATGCTGCTTGCACTGAGCCCCCGTGTCTTCAAGCCCAAACCTTAGTCTCTCCCGGAACCCGTAAGGTCCAGAACCCTAAACCCAAGGCCATGAGACCCTGCACTCGACACACCTAGACCCGAGCTTGGAGCTCTAACAAGTCAAGCCTCATAAGCCTTATATGCAGGCTACCGGTGTAAGTGTCGACAGACCCAGGCACCTGCCCCGCCAGCAAGAAATGTGGGGCCGACGCTGGCTCGGAGAAGGGTCTGCCTTGCTGTCAGAGCCGTGGCGGACAGATGTTTGGGGGTTCTTGCTAAGCCTGCATATGGGGAGTTCTCTAAATTAGGTTCCCTTTTGTAAGATCCTTCTCATAAGGGGTGCCGCCATCTTTTCGGTTCCTAAACAGGGACCCTAACTTAGAGAACTACATACTGTTTCTAGAAATCACAAGCAGCGTTGCCGGTGTTGAACAGCACACCCACGAAGTATGCCGCCACAGAAGTTTGGCATGGTTATCTTTGCTGTTGATCCGGGCACTCTTGAATTGACTTGAAGGTTAGCTTCAATGTAGGTGGCTGTTCCTGTTTGGTGATTCCGACTGTTGAGAGATTTTCTTGTGGAACAGTGGCCCAAAGAGTGGTGCATCATAGGTTGGGGCGTCATAGGTTGGAATAACTTGATTGGGAGTTACCTTCTATTCCTAGTGGTAGCTTGGTGACCTTTAAGTCAACTCTGTGTGCCTTCTATGACTGGCGTTGTTGTGGGTTCAGTCACAACCCGGGCAACAACAACAAAAAGAGTCACTAAACCATGAACCGCACAGTTCCCTTGTGTGCATCCAAGGATATCTTCCACCTCCTTCGAGTGCTGCTCCAGCTCCGAAGCCTGCATTCCCAACGTCGCTGGACTCGCATGCCTCAAGCATCGCACGACAAAGTTGTCAATATGGGTGTCGGAAGAACTAGTTTTGCTATCTGCAAAGAGATCCTATATACTTATATCATAGTATATCCACTAAATAAGCATGAAGGATTCTATGTGACGGTTGACGCTTGGGGAGTAGAAGCATTCGGAGTTTGTGCTGATTCACTAGTGGCTTGTCACCGCATGAAAGCACGACATTGAAGGGGCAGAGAACGCTTGGTGGTCCAGATGGTTGCACCCACCGACATCAGTTCAGAATCACTGTTTTTCCATGATCATTGTTCCCACCGCTCTTTGCCTTCATGTTATTGGGGACGTTTTTTTTTATCACGGCTACTGCCAACTTTCCGGCGATTGCTATCATGATGACTGCAATGAAGTCTCCTTTTGTTGTGTCTCAGGTGGGATGCCGCTGCGCCGGCGAAGAGAACTTGCGCGATTACGAGGGCTACAGCTTCGAGGACTAGTCAACAGCGGCACAAAGATCAATGTAAACGAAAACGTTGATGTCACAGATTTTGCTGGGCGAATTCTACCTGAAGGTGTCACCGTGGTTCGCGACCTTATCGTAGGATTTTTGTAAATGGATGGCTCAGACAGGGTTGCCGGCCGGGCTGTAACAATGGAAACCCGAGGAGCGGAGTACGTGAGTACGTAGTACAATTACCTGCTATGTTAGATGGCGCTCAACTGAGTGGGCATGTGCTTCGCACGCAACATGCCTCCTCGCGTGATAGGCCGATAGTTCCCTCCCCAAACCTTCTTCCATGTGCCCTGACCATTACCCATCTCGTTCACACACTAAAGCCTTATCGCAAAGCTCTACCAACCCGGCCGAAGGACTACAAGCAAGAGTTCTCCAAGTCGTACGCTGATCACGAGCTCGAGAGCAGGAAATCGATCTTCGAGGCTGGGGTTTGGGGTTGAGCGTCCAGATTTTATAGTAGGGTTTTGAGTTTAGAGTCAGGAAAAGAGCAACATGTTAGAAGAATCGGGGCTTGCGACGGTTAGCAAGTTTTACTGTTAAGACCCTATATTGTTGACGGGGTGGATCAGCTAAGATTTGAGTTTGCAGTTCAGGGTTGCATTAACGGCTCCGAAGCGATGCCCATAGAGTTGCCGGTGTCAGAACTGCCGGTTGCTGAGATGTAAGTCCGAAGAACCACTAGAGCGAGCCGCAGCCACCTGGACATGTCAGAGACCAGCTCCTGCGCTGGAACTGCTTCAGGATGGCTTAACATCGGAAGAGCGCGAAGTTTAGGAGTCCTTCAGCCGGTGTAGCATTGCATGCATCTAAACTCGAATCGAAACCCGAAGCACCGTAAGCCTGAACGCCGCGCCAAGGCGAATTTGCGGAAGGTGCAAGCACACAACGCCGAGTACAGGCTGTAGCGGGGGTTTGGGGTTCAGGAGTTATAGGGTGCCAGGGTTTAGGCTTGTGGTAGTGTTAGCGGGATTTGCCCTCATGACATGTCTGATGCATTGAAGAAGTCCCGCAGCTAGCAGGGACCGCCCCCCCCCCCCCGATAGCAAAAGTTGCATATATCTTCAGACAAGCACAGGGCTCCAGTGGTCAGAGACCTCTGTCCTTCCCTTGTGTTTGGAGACGGAAAATGTTACAGTTGCTGTACATCAGGGATGTGCGGTAGGCTTGACGTGCTTGGAGGCAACAAGCTTCAAAATCAAGCAAGGCAAGCCTCGCAGGATCAAGAGTTCTCGTCGAGGTTCTGCTAAGACAGACGCATCGGGAGAGGGATAGTATTCCTGGTTGGATAAGTGAAAAGTCCGCGATTCTTGCGCTGGGCACTTGTACAACCCATGCACTCCATGGCCACTAACTATCTTACAGCACCCCTTACAGAGCCTGTCTACAACCCTTCTTGCAACCCGCATACAGCTTCGAATAAACCCTCCTTTCACACTACCTATGACTTATGGCATCCTTAGAGGCAGGGGCGTCGCAGCAGGAACCCTTAGTGTCATAATGAACCCTTACGGAACCCTTAGCCTGGGCTTAACATAAACCATCCTAATGTTTTTCATATCCCGTAGCATTGTAAAAGAAATCTTACAGGCAGGGGCTTCGCTCCTGGCATATGGTCTATGTGTAACTTAAACCTTTCTAGTAGCCCTGCAACTACCCTTCTGCAAACCCTGACTATACCCTTTACAGAACTCTTACAGGCAGGAGTGTCGCACAAACCCTAAACCCTTCTCATAACCCGTTTAATGCACCACGATAGCCTCTGCAACGTCCCTTAGAGGCGGGGCGTCTCACCATGACCGTGGTCTCATGATGAAGCCGTATGGAGCCCTAAACCCTTGTACTGTCCGGTAGCTTTGAAAAGAAATCTCATAGGCAGGGGCAGCGCGCAAACCCTACACCCCAAACCCTTCTAATGACCTGTTTGACACATCTGTCTACTAAACTCTATGACAGCCTAAAAAAGCCCTTAGAGCCTTGGATACTAAACTCTATGATAGCCTCGAAAATGTCCCTTAGACTGGACTCTACGATAGCCTCAAACATGTCCCTTAGAGCCTTGGAGGCAGGGACATCGCACCTGGTACATGGCCATGAATGAGCTGGCCGACCTCTCCTCGGAGGAGTTCGGAGTGAGGCCCGGGGGGCTTTCGATTTGATTTTGAAAGAGGTTTCCCCGGGTAAACGAGATTAGACCGGTTCAGGAATTAGATGTGCAGGGTACTTGTATTTTGAGGTGTTAGGGATTAGTCGTTTAGTTTCTCTTGTACAAATATGGTAAGCCGAGGCTCAACCAGATGCAAACAGATGGCAACCATCTTTGCCATCGCCGCCGTCGTCGTCACTTTTTCAGGTAGTATTATGGTCAGGCAAAGTCCCCATCAACGAGCAGTGTGGTAAAGCGTTTAGTTTGGGGTCTCGCTTGTCAACAGCCGAGCAGAATTCGCAGAGCTTCAACCAAACCTCAGCAGTGCAGCAAAACACGGTGGGAAACCCCCCAAAATCCTGCACCTCAAAAACCTTGTCTAATCCTTTCAGCCCACACCAAATCAGGACTTGCTAAATCCTGAGGCTCCTGGACCCTTGTAGAGAGATCCCAAACCCCGGAACCCCAAAGCCGAAACCCGGTCCCCCAGAAAGCCCAGGAGCCTCTGAGGAGCCTTAGGGTAGGACCTCGAATCGAAGAAGTCTCCCGCACCCAGGCGCTCCACCAAGGTGGCCCACGCTGTGAACCGGCCGTTTTTGCAGCTCGATGCTGAGGCCCTCCTGGGGCTTAGAGTTTAGGGCTTACAAGTTTAGGGTTTAAGGATAGTGTTTAAGGTTGGGGTATCCTGCTGTTTTGGTGGCTATGGTTTAGGGTTTAGACTTTAAGGTTGGGCTTTGTGAGGGTTTCATATGGGGTCTTGTAGGGTAGATACGGACATTCCCCAGGACCAGGAGAACGTTGTGAGGATTATAGTAGAATTTCAGATTCAATGTGGATTTAAGTTCGATTTTATGCTTTTTCTGTGTGGGGTTCAGGTGCCCGGCTGGAGGGCGTAGAATCGAACGTGATGCTTTACGGTCATTGACAGTGGCGAAGGCATGAACTCGAATCTAATTCCACATTGAATCTTGTCCCGGTATGGATGGAAATAGGATTTGAATTTAATCTCCCATGGGTTGGGGGGGGTGGTCTTAAATTTTCGGCTTTGAAGCCCCTTTCCAATGCAAGGGTTTTAGTCGAATTTATTCCGGCTGCAGCTTAGATCCAACATAAAATCTGCAAGTTGTCCTCGCCGCAAGGTTTAAATTCGAATTAAAATGATCAGGCTTTGGTCCTTGCAGGGTTTAAATTCGAATTAAACAGCTCAGGCTTTGGTCCTTGCAGGGTTTAAATTCGAGTATAAAGTTTAAAGAGACTAGGGAATTTCGGAAAAAGGCTAGAGAAGAACTAGTCAATTTCAGAAGAAGGAGCAAAGCGCTCGAAAGAGACTAGATAATTTCGAAAAAAGACTAGGGAAATTGAAAAAAGGGAGCAAACCGCTCGAAAGAAACTAGAGAATTTCAGAACCAGGAACAAACCGCCCGAAAGAGACTGGATAATTTCGGAAGCGACTAGAGAATTTGAAAACAAGGAGAAAACCGCCACCGCTCGAAAGGAACTACAAAACATCAGAAGAAACAGCAAACCGCCCGAAAGAGACTAGAGATATTGAAAACAAGGACAAACCGCTCGAAAAGGGACAGATAAAGGAGCAAACCGCTTGGAAAAGACTAGAGATATTGAAACACAGAATAGAAGCACACCGCTCAAAAGAGGCTAGGGAATTTGAGAACGAGGAGCAAACCGCTCGAAAAAGACTAGAGACCTCGCAAAGAATTTCGAAAGACACCGGAAAATTTGCAGACAAGGAGCAAACCGCTCGAAAGCGAATAGAGAATTTCGAAAGAGATTAGGGACAATGAACACAAGGAGCAAACTGCTCGAAAGGAACTAGAGAATTCCGGTGAAAGAGACTAGAGAATTTCGAAAGAGATTAGAGAAGTTGAAAACAAAGAGCAACGGCTCGCAAGGAACTAGAGAATTTCAGAAGAAGGAGCAAACCGCTCGAAAGCAACTAGAGAATTTCAGCGTAAGAGACTAAAGAAGTTGAAAACAAGGAGCAAACTGCTCGAAAGCAACTAGAGAATTTCAAAAGAAGGAGCAAACCGCCCGAAAGAGACTGGATACTTTCGAAAGAGACTACTGCTCGAAAGAAACTACGGGCCTTCAGAAGAAGGACCAAACCGCTTGAAAGAGACCAGATCGTCTCGAAAGAGACCAGATAAATTGAAATGAAGGAGCAAACCGCTCGAAAAGAACTACAGAGTTTCAGCAGAAGAAGCAAACCGATCGAAAGAGGCGAGAGAATGTCGAAAACATCTAGAGAATTTGAATACAAGGCGGGGCCGCTCGAAAGGAACTGAAGAGTTTCAGAACAAAGAGCAAACCGCTCGAAAGAGACTAGAGAAGTGGAGAACAAGGAGCAAACCGCTCGAAAGAGACCAAATCGCAAGAGACTTGAGCAATTGGAAACCAGGAGCAAACCACGCGAAGAGTTCCAGAAGAAGAAGCAAACCGCTCGAAAGAGACTCGAGAAATTGAAAACAAGGAGCAAACCGCTCGAAAGAGACTAGCGAACTTCGAAACAGACTTGAGAATTTGAAAACAAGGAGCAAACCGCTCGACAGGAACTGGAGAGTCTCAGAAGAAGGGGCAAACCGACCGAAAGAGGCGAGTCGAATGTCGAAAGAGTCTAGAGAACTTGAATACAAGGAGGGCCGCTCGAAAGGAACTGGAGAGTTTCAGAACAAGGGGCAAACCGCTCGAAAGAGACTAGAGAATTTGAAAACAAGGATCAAACTCGAAATAAACTAAACTATTTCGAAAGAGACTAGAGAAGTGGAGAACAAGGAGCAAACCGCTCGAAAGGAACTAGAATCTCAGAGGAAGGAGCAAACCGCTCGAAAGGGACCAAATAATTTCGCAAGAGACTTGAGAATTGGAAACCAGGAGCAAACCGCCCGAAGAGTTTCAGGAGAAGAAGCGAACCGCTCGAAAGAGACTCGAGAAATTGAAAACCAGGAGCAAACCGCTCGGAAGCAACTAGAGATTTTCAGAACAAGGAGCAAACCACTCGAAAGAGACTAGCGAATTTCGAAAAAGACTTGAGAATTGAAAACAAGGAGCAAACCGCTCGACAGGAACTGGAGAGGCTCAGAAGAAGGGCAAACCGACCGAAAGAGGCGAGTCGAATGTCGAAAGAGTCTAGAGAACTTGAATACAAGGAGGGCCGCTCGAAAGGAACTGGAGAGTTTCAGGACAAGGAGCAAACCGCTCGAAAGAGACTAGAGAATTTGAAAACAAGGATCAAACTCGAAAGAAACTAAAGTATTTCGAAAGAGACTAGAGAAGTGGAAAACAAGGAGCAAACCGCTCGAAAGGAACTAGAATCTCAGAGGAAGGAGCAAACCGCTCGAAAGGGACCAAATAATTTCGCAAGAGACTTGAGAAATTGGAAACCGGGAGCAAACCGCCCGAAGAGTTTCAGAAAAAGGAGCGAACCGCTCGGAAGCAACTAGAGAATTTCGGAACAAGGAGCAAACCGCTCGAAAGAGACTAGCGAATTTCGAAACACTGGACAACAAGGAGCAAACCGCCCGAAAGGAAGGCGAAAGTTTCAGAAGCAGGAGCAAACCGCTCGGAAGAGACTAGAGAGTTTCGACATAGACTATGGAAACTTAACACAAGGAGCAAGCCGCTCGAAAAGAAGTAGAGAAATTCAGCACAAGGGGCAAATCGCTCGAAAGAGACTGGAGAGTTTGAATACAAGGAGCAAGCCGCTCGAAAGACTGGCGACTAGAGAATGTGAAAACAATTAGCAAACCTTTCGACAGGAACTAGACAATTTCAGAACAAGGAGCAAATGGCTCGAGAGAGACTAGAGAATTTCCACAGAGACTAGAGCAATTGACAACAAGGAGCAAGGAGCAAACTGTTCGAAAGGAACAGGAGAATTTCAGAAGAAGAAGAAGCAATCCGCCCGAAAGAGGCTAGAGATTTTCGAGAGAGACTATAGAGAAGTTGAAAACAAGGAGAAAACCGCTCGAAAGGAACTGAGAATTTCAGAATAAGGCGCACACCGCTCGAAAGAGACTTTCGAAAGAGGTGAGGGAAGTGGAAAGCAAGGAGCAAACCGCTGGAATGGATTTAGAGAAACTCAAAAAAAGGAGCAAACCGCTCGAAAGAGACTAGAGAAGTTGAATACAAGGAGTAAACCGCTCGAAAGGAACTAGAGAATTTCTGAGCAAAGCGCAATCCGCCCAAAAGAGAATTTCGAAAGAGACTAGAGAAGTTGAAAACAAGGAGCAGGCCGCTCGAAAGGAACTAGAGACTTTCAGAACAAGGAGCTAACCGCTCGAAAGAGACTACAGACTTTCGGCGGCGACTAGAGAAATTGAAAACAAGGAGCAAACCGTTCGACAGGAACTAGCGAATTTCAGAACAAGGAGCAAACCGCTCGAGAGAGAGATTAGGGAATTTCGACAGAGACTCGAGCCATTGAAAACAAGGAGCAAACCGCCGGAAAGGAACTAGAGAGTTTCAGAAGAAGGAGCAAACCGCTCGAAAGCGACTAGAGAATTTCGAAAATAAAGATTAGAGAGTTTGAAAACAAGGAGCAAACCGCTCGACAGGAACTAGAGAGCTTCAGAGCAAGGAGCAAACCGATCGAAAAGACTAGGATATTTCGAAAGAGACTAGAACAATTGAAAACAAGGAGCAACCACTCGAAAGAGTTTCAAGATTTTGAGAAGAAGGAGCAAACCGCTCGAAAGACACTAGAGAATTTCGGAAGAGAATAGAGAGATTGAAAACAAGGAGCAAAGCCACCGCTCGAAACGAGCTACAGAATTTCAGAAGAAGTACCAAACCGCCCGAAAGAGACTAGAAATATTGAAGCAAAAGAACAAACCGCTCAAAAGGGACAGATAAAGGAGCAAACCTCTCGGAAAAGACTGAAGACATTGAAACAAAGAAGCAAACCGCTCAAAAGGGGCTAGGGAATTTCAGAACAAGGAGCAAACCGCTCGAAAAGAATTAGAGAATATTAGAAAAAGGACCAAACCCCTCGAAGGAGACTTGAGAATTTCGAGAGAGACTCGAGAAATTGAAAACAAGACGCAAACCGCTCTTCCAGGGTTCCGTCTTAGCAGGGCTTATACTATTTGGACTCGACAAGGTTTAAGCTTTCTCAGAACTTTCAAACTTAGCATATTTCTGTATGTAGACAAATCCTCGTCGATTGCCTATGACTTAAACTCGGATATTAACCCTAAGCGAGAGAAAGACATAAATTCGAATTTAAATCCTTCCCATGGCGCTCGACTGGTGGCCGCTGCTTGATTGGTTCCGAGGTTTAAAATCGAATCTAAGCAATCTGGATGCGATGTCTACACCCCGTCCGGGAGGAGAAAAACTTTGAGAAATCCTGCTTCATCCACAATGTGAGGAGGTTCTTGCCAATGGATACACTATGTAGGTTCCCTGATTGTGCGCCCCTCCGATATCCCCTCTACATGTCCCGATGGCTCAAAATAGCCCAAAGGCCTTATATAGTATGGTCTTTGGGCCCAAAGGCCTTATAACATGAGTCCTTAGAGCCTTACGGGGGGGCCCGGCGATGGCTTCAGCTATATTGGATCCAGAGAGCTCGAAGCTCTGAGGCCCCCAAAAAAGGTGCACGAAGTTGTAACACTATTTTTGAGCGCTCCTTGTTTTGACTGTTGTAATAAGTCGAATCAACCCCAATAATAGTTTTTCTAATCACCAAGGTCCTATAGACTGCCTAGAGCCAATCTTGTGCCACATACGGTAGCTATATGTCTACTGCGCACCCAAAATCCTACTCGAACAGACTGCGTAGAGTGAGCCAAAATAGGTGCACAAGCCGAACCCGGCCGCTTTCGACTGGCGCAGCAAGGGGGTCGTCACGCCCGTGAAGGATCAAGGCGGCCTCTGGATTCCTTTGTGTCCCGTTTTCAGCTTGTGGGGCTTAGGGTTCAGGGTTTTAGGGAACCCTATCTGGGTTCAAAGAAGGGTTTAGGGTTCAGGGTTCAGGGGCTTATAGCCCATAGGTTTCATTTAAGGGTTGAGGCTTCGGGGCTTATGGCCCCTAGGGCTCAAATCCCAAGGAAATTGAAAACGAAGGGTCCTGACGAGGAGTTACCGGACCCTGCTTAGGAGGTCCCGTAGACTCAAGGAGGCTCATATGATACACCCCGGTTAATTGCCACGAATGACGTCTAATCCGTCAGTCCTCCCTTCTAGCATACAGCACCTTCACTCTTGAAAAGAGAAAAGGCAAAGCCCCCCACGCTTCGACGAAAAAACCTTCAACCGTGATGACTCTGCGGAGACGTTTAGGGTTCAGGGTTTACGGTTTAGGGTTCAGGTTTTCGTCGCGAGGTCCTGTGAACCTGTATCGTAGCCAACTCCAGCACAGCAGATCCATCACATGCCGAATGGTGCCGTGTCGTAGATATGAACTTCAACAGCCACAAGGGCCGAATCACGACCCTGCTTTCACCTTCTGCTGTCATGGTGTAAGCCCTATAGACTCTATGAGCCTGAGGCCCATGACGACCTAGATGAGGTATTGAATACCAGCCTCGACACTATGTAGCAAGATTCCCGTAGTATCCTAATTACACGTTTAGATCCTTCATACGAAGACCCTGCTGTACTTAGTAGGCCCCTACATCGAGCCGTGATTTGTGTAGGCGGATGCGGGTCATGCTGGGAAGCTGGGCACTGCAATATTGTGATGTGGTACGCGGGTACGCTTGTTGGGTCCTGCTTTCTTGTGGCAGCGAATTGGTTTAAGGTATCAGATCTGTTTTTTTGGGTGTCCTTGGATACTTCAGCACCCAGGCATTCTCGGCTACCGAGACGGTCGAGTCCCACTACGCCCGCCGTCTGATCGAGGGGGATGATGTGGGTTAAGGTGTAGGAAGTCCTGCAATTTTGGGTTCAGGGTGGGAGATGGATCGGGGATGATCGGGGCATTGGGGACAAGAGGGTTCACTGACTACAACTCAAGGCGTTGATATCAGGAAAGCAGCCGAAGTCCAGATTTCCGTGTTTCCTAGTATGGACTTCAACATTCAGAGCTGCTTTACCCGCGAGGGCTTGTGATCCCGAAATATCTTTGCCATGCAGACGATGACAGTGACTCCCGTTTAGCTACTATGAAACCTATAAACTGACCTCGCCCTCTCCAGCCTGAGAGTCTTGGGGGTGCTTGTATGCAAGAGCGGGCGGGCCGAAGCAGTCTCAGATTTTGACGTGCATTTTGCCATGGTGTCCTGAATGGTGGCAAGGGTGGGGCTTGGATGGTTTTGGGCGGGGCATCGATCCCCTTTGATGTACTCAGGCGATCGCATCTGGCAAGTTGCTGACGCTGGCTCCGCAGACGTACGTGGACTGCGTGGAAAACCCTGATGATTGCGGAGGCTCCCAGATCCCTTCAGCTATGGCAGACCATCTGAGGGTTTGGGCCCATGCATGCGGAAGCCGTTGCCAAGCTTGTCAGCAGTGCGGATGCTGGTGTTGAATGTCGGTGGAGTTTTAAAAAGCCGATGATGTCAGCTTCGAAGTAGCAGTCATTTGCTGTAGAGTGGTTGGTTGTACAATTGCCCACTGCATGCGCGACTTGCGCACGTAGAGCGCTAAACCACTGGCATGCTCGGCTTTATAGGGCTCGTACCCAAAGTAGTAGCGGTCTCTATAGGCCCCGAACACTATGATTACTCGGAGTGCTTTCCGGTACTTTACAACATACGACAGCCACGGTAATTAGGGTACTCGTATGCACCTTTTGATTTGAAGCCGCGCACCCTGGCCTGCGGTGATGGCTCAAAGCCATTTCTTTGCAACCCGAGCTTGCGCAGCGTGCGACTGCTTGTCCTTGGAGATCCACATACCCGAGCCATGGGGCTGACAAGCAATTTGTGGAAGAGCTCATCTCTTTTGAGCACCGAGAGCGACGAAATTCATTACAGCGAGCAAGATGATCAGGACTTCGCTTCTGACATCTACATCCTGGCGGAAAGCACCACGGACGAGCTCCTGAATTCCTGGAAGGTCTTCACCGCGCTGAAGGATGAGAGCTACCAGGGCAGGCGGCTGGAGAATGCAGCCTGGCGCCTGCATGCCATGCAGAAGCTGGGCAAAAGCCCCAGCAAGGAGGCGGAGTCTCGCATCACCGGGCGTGAGGCGAACAGCGGTTCGACCGAGTCTCTTGTCAAGGTGACTGGCGAGGAGCATCCGCCCATCATGCAGGCAACCTGGAGTGCAGAACAGCTGCTTGGGGCCTGCTTGAAGCACAAGCTCTCCAATGAAACGATGGAAGATGTGCTGCAGATCCTGCACAGCAGAAAGTTTGACTCTGCCGACGTTCCCCGCACCTCCTCTGAGCTGAGAGCCCTTCCTCATGGCCAGTATCGGCCAGTCTGCGCCATTTTCACTCACAGTCTTGAAAGGAATGGTGCGAACAATTTCTGCCTCTACATCGCAAGGGTCCTGAAGCAAAGTCAGCCTTTGACAATCTTCTCCCCAAAGGCTGGCCCCATGAAGGAAGACTTCGAGAAGTTGGGCCTGCAGGTGAGCATCGTCGACACCACCTCCCCAACCTTTCTGTCCGACCTTGCCATCTCCTTGAAAGAGCTGAAAGTGGGCATGCTACTTGCGAACACCATCATGCGCTGTGACATCATCCTCATGGCGGCAGATCTTCAGCTTCCCTCCGTCTGGGTGATTCACGAGTCCTGGCCACAAGATCAGCTGGACCATTATGCGAAGGAGGTGTTTATGTGCAAGGACATCGACTCGAAGGTCATCCGCCAGGCATTTAAGGCAGCAGGGACGATTATCTTTCCATCGGACATGCAACGCCACCTCTACGACGGCATGTTCCAGCCCGATGCTGGAAGGACTATCTACAACGGCATCCCTCTGCAGCAGCTGGACCACTTCAAGCAAAGCAGAAACAGGCGAGAAGTGCGAGCAGCGCTGGGTTACACAGACGAGGACTTCCTGGTGCTGCACCTGGGCACGGTCTGCAGCAGGAAGGGGCAAATGTTCTCGGCGACGGCATGCTCCAGACTCATCAAAGAGGATGGGTGCGCAAATCTCAAGCAACTGATCGTTGGCGCTCGGTACATCAGGGATCATGAGATTCGGTACATCGACCAGATCTTTCAGGTCGCGGCCGCACATGGTGTCTCCTGCAGGCGGTGGGAGGAGCTGGCAGAAGAGGAGCGTGGACAGCCTCAGATCACCGTCATGGACATCCAAGCAGCCGTCTTGCAGTTCTACATGGCTGCAGATGTCGTTTTGGTCCCATCCTTGAACGAGGTCTTGCCACTGGTCATCTGTGAAGCCATGGCTTTCGAACGACCAGTGGTATGCAGCCGAATTGATGCAATCCCAGAGGCTGTGACCGACGGAGTTGAGGGCTACCTGGTGCCCCCTGGAAGCCCTGATGCCATCCGAGCAGCTGTGCTGAAGCTGTACCGGGACCCGGCCCTATGCCAGAGGATGGGTGCAGCAGGCAGGGCTCGTGTCTTGAAGCAATTCAGCTACAGCCGAATGGGTGAGCACTACCGAGAGTTGCTGGACACCGTGACTACACAACCAGCCATGCCAGCCACTCTGAAGGCACCGTCCTTAGGCGAGATGCTCAAGGGCCGCACAGTACTAGTCGACATGGACAACACCATCGTCGATTGGGATGCGGAGTTTATCCGTCGCTACGCTTCTGGCCGTGACCTCCCGGAGGTAGAGAAGATCGTGCGCAACCGGGCGAAGTTTGAAATCGAGGAGAACTTCCCCGAGTCGGCGCGTGCAGAGGTCCTTGAGACGGTGGCTTCGCCGGGCTTCTACGAGAGCTTGCAGCCGCTGCCTGGTGCCGTCGAGGCTTTGCAGGCACTCGTAGCCGAGGGCGTAGATGTGAAGCTCGTCACAGCTCCGCACCCGACCTGTCCTGGGACTTGTGCGATGGAGAAATACACGTCAGTTGAGCGCATGTTGGGAGCTTCCTTCCAGGAACGTTTGATCATCACAAGGGACAAGACCCAGGTGCAGGGAGACATCCTCATTGATGACAAGCCACATATCTCGGGCAGCAAGCCGCGCCCTTGGAAGCACGTCATCTTCAGCCAGTCCTACAACCAAGACGTTCAGGGCAAGGACCGCCTTTCGTCTTGGACTTCCTGGCGGGACGTGCTTCCCGGGGCTTTCTGAGCTTCTTGGCACATGCCAACTGCTGCAGTTTGCAAGTTTGAGGGGAGTTCCTGCTGTTGTCTTCCTTGCAGGGCTCCTGTACAGAAAGCCGGGAGGGTCCTGGCGTCCAATCCTTAGCGCTTCGAGTGGATGCTGCCGTCCACCGGGGCCTCATTTAAATTCCCCAGGATTGGTTGAACCTGTCGCCAATCCATCTCAGACCTCGACTGGTGTCAATCCCAGATGCACGTACCATTGCATGCTGACAGTCCACCCTTGTGCTCACGGATGGCCTGAAAGCTTGCAAAGCACACCAGCCAATACACTTCCAATTCACATTCACATTTAGAATTTTGTCATCCCTGTACAGATGTCCGCCGTGTACAGCCCAACTCACGCGGACGCAAGGTGATCTCACAGACTCTCATAGGCTCGGCATGAACAGTCTAGACGGAAAATGTCCAAGTTGCGAGAGTCCATCAGCCGACTTTGCCGGTGCTTGTGTAATTCGCGTCAGCTTATGAATCCGAGCACCTGGATCCTGTCAGGACTCCTGTCGCGTCTGAGTTAGCTGCAGATGGCATCTGTTGAATCTTGGAAGCAGGCACGGCTTAAATTCAAGCCTCGTGCAGCGGCGGCAGAGTGAGTGGTTGGTTCTGTTTCTGAATGCAACCCTGCAGCTGTTCAATGTCCGGCAGCCAGAAGTCTCCAACTACACTCCTATACCCGATCCCAGGAATCATTGCATAAGGCCGACTGTAGATTCTTCCGTTCTGAAGTACATGGAAGACTAGACGGAGGTCTGCAACCAGCCAGAAGCCTATAGATTTGCACGATTACTTCCGTTTCTTTCTCCAGCAATCTTTGATTTAGGCAAGCATGAAGCCCGCAAAGGAACAGATTTTCTCAAAAGCAGCCGGAGCAGCTTCGGACTCAGCCGCCATGAATTAGGGTTTCGGGTTTCGGGCAAATGCCGAAGTTTCGGACACATCGCTTGGAAGATCTTGGAAACGGAGGAAGTTACTTGAGTGTTTAATGGCATGCACTGGTGGTTACAGCTTGGGGGTGTTCTGCTTCGGCGGTTCGAGGATGCGCGGCAACCGGGAACATGTCTACAAAGTGAATCAGAATCCATCGGCTCATGTTCCGCTTGTTTGAGAATCACGCCATTCGATACGTTTGACCCTATCTCTTCCATCCTCATCTCCTGCTAAACCTTCAGGCTTTCCAATCTTGCCCCATATGCCTTAAAGCCGACGTCACCCCTGCTGAAATCGCTGAGGCACAGACCATAGGAGGGGCTGCTCAAGGCGGCCTTGCGTTGCTGGCACAGCTTGTGGAGGAGCTTGTCTGACATGAACATCCACTAGACTTATAAATTCTAGAACCAAAATCAGCTTCCTGCTCAAGTTGCCTTGGCCCTGCTGTATAGAGCCTAGAGATCTGAAGACCCTGGCCGTGGCGGTTGTGTGCTCCTTAGTCGCAAGTTCGGATTCGTAGGATTCCCGGTTTACCGACTTACATACACCCAAAACACCCCCATTCCGATTAGTCAGGCCCTTGTACCCGCTAGCTAGCTAATTCTTCTACCTACCACGAGCCTGAGTTGGGCTGTCTAGAGAACAACCAACCCTCACAAGCATCCTGAGTCCTGGTTAATTTACATTAAACAGTCCCTATACACAACCCCAGAAATCGATAGAACATTCCAGACGATCCAACATACAAGAGGGACCCAGCCGGAGCTTGGTCTCGCAGGAGGCGATCGAGCCACCGCCGAACACGCGCGAAGAGGGCCCGCCACCACCAGAGCTGAGGCTGGACTAGCACAAGTGCTCGAGTCCTTTTTCACTTCGTACTTGCCGGTACTTGCTCTCGTCACCGGTGCCATTCTTTTCTAGTGGATTAGGATACTGTCAGAACGGCACTAGAACAGTTGATTTGTAAGTGCTGCTGCTACTCGGATGAAATCCCTGGATGAACTGAACGGATGCTTCGTTTTTGAGTAATTACCTTCCCCCGAACGAACAGCAGCTGACCCTCGTAAGTCATACAAAGCAAGGGTTGTGGTAGCGCAACCCCCACAACATCCCAACAGTACGGTACAAGCCTACGTAATTGGATGTGGTTGCCAATACTATTCTCATATATTCCATTAGCGTTCCTTATCGTTGTCATTTTAGGATTGCCCCGACACCCTATTCTCATGATGAAGGCCCTTATATATCCCTAAGTCAAAGCCTAAGCCTTAAGCCTTCATCCCCAACCCCAAACCCTAGACCCAACTTGCATTACATCCGAGACCCGAGCCCCCTGTTTTTAGCTACCCATACTGCAACCCTATGCCTTAGAATCACGAAGCCTACTTCAGTCCTCCGACTCTCTGCATGCAGCGGCAGAGACAGCGAGAGAGAGGGAGAGAGAGAGAGCGCGCGGGCTAGGGGGATTTCGCCCTGGCTCATAGCCCTGGCGAAAGAACGAGAGAGGGCTTAGGGTTTAGGGGTTTGCAGCGTTTAGGGGAAGCCCGAAGCCCTTTCTGCGCTACTGCCAGGCAAGCACCTCCCAAGGTCATCGAATGCGATGGAAGCCCACCAGCTCCGGACCCGAGCTCCTACTGTTGAAATACTTTTCTCTCTCTGTCTCTCTCTTTTTGAGGGTGGTTCGGGGCTTGGGTTTTTGGGATGTGGGGTTTTAGGAGTTTCAACCCGCCCGGGCCTTAGGGTGTTGGGAATTAGGGGTTTAGGTGCGTCGTGGATGACAGGTGACTCAAGCCTCAACTCATAAGGGTAGCCTGACTGGTAGAGGTGGATTTGGCGAAGTATGGCATATCATAATCTAGGTCGTGCTGACAAGAAGTAGAAATATGTAGAAATAATTCTACATGTGTGAAGCAAGGCTGCGCGGTCACTCTCGACTAGAAGCGTGCAAGCGTATGCAGCCAGACATCCAACATCCAATGTTTCCCCGCTTGTTCAGCGACCGACATAGTGTGATATGATATGACGTGAACTCCGCTTTCTGCTTCGCCTTCAAATCCTTGTGTGTTAGAGACAACCCGTGTAGGTAAAGTGCAAAACCTTAACCCTGAGAAACAAAGCTGAACCACGCCAGGGCCAAATACACAAGGCCTACAACTCCAGTATCGTAAAGTCAGTTGAAAAAGTTAAGGTGCGAACATACAGAATAATAATCCAACACCATACATACAACAACACACATCTCAGAAGCGAAGGCAAACGTGAACGCCTCAGACAGCTTCGTATGACATACATTTCTTCATGAAGCTTCATGAACTATGCCTAGGCCCCGTGCATCCAAACCGGACGCCCTTTTATCACCGCTGTCTAGAGTTAATAACCCTTTCGATGGCCACCGGATGCATGATTGCCATTGCTTTATCCTCTGTGCTCTCAACTGAACCATGCAATGCGGGCTTGTCAAAGCTAGGTGGGAGGCAAAAAAACCCTTAAACCCCAAACAGCCCACAGCCCAGCAGGATCTGTTTGAGAGCCTTGTGATCCCCGGGCCGACAGCGAAGCGCTCCGATGCTGCTGCGGCCCTCTCCGAAGGACAGAATCTTGGGGGTTCCCTTTCAGGGATATATAAGGGTTCCGTTAAAGGGTTTACGGTTAAAGTTACCCTAATGGGGATGCATATGGATGCATCGTATTTTGCTTGCAGGATCCGGCGACTCAGCAAGTAGATTATTCTTAGATTCTTGAGGGGTTGCAGTCTGCTGGTTTGAGATTCAAGTTTTGGGACGGGTGTTTTCTGGCATGGTCTCTGCCTTCAAGGGCTAGGTGAAGGCCATTTAGATGCAGAAGGGTCTCGATTGAATAGATAGATAAGATGCAGGAACACCGCGGGTACACTCCCTCACGCCCTGTACAGCTTAGCCGGGGCATTCGAACGACAAGCTGGAGACTTTCATGTTTGTTGCCATCGTGCTTTGGGACGTCTCTGTTATCATGCATAAAATGCGTAAACACCATCATTTCATTACGACGTGGCTGGCATTTCGCCGTTGTTTTTGAAGCCGCTTTACCCGAATTCCTCACTTAGTAGAGATGCGCAAGGCATCCCGGATATAGGCGACATCGAAATCGAGGGAGTGTGGGGGATGACCTCGGGCCATGCAGGAGAGAAAGTGCACGTCGCGGCCCTATTGCTGACGTTCCGGTTGACCGGGTGCTCTGTCATTTTGCTTTGTGGCTAGCGGCGAATACTGAGTAATTCCCCGATTTTAGGCGAAAACGTTGTTGAACGGCGATTGGAATCCTGGACGACATTCAGCTGTAACAACTCCGAGCTTGGTTTGTCTGATGGGTTTGATGGGCTTCAACCACAGTAGCAATTGAATGTTTGAGACTTCAACTTCTGACACGGGTCCGGCTATATCAGAGAAGGGCACAGCGCAGATTGGGCTCTGCAGGCGCTTAGTCGATGCCTCGGGCTTCTCCCGCTAAGCTTTCTCCAGGAAAGCATTAGCCCGAGATAAGCCATACTCAGCACGTGCCGGAGATGGTTACGGGCTGAGAAGCGCAGCGAGAAGGAGAGGGAGAGAGAGAGAGAGAGCTACAGTGTCACAAATGCATATATACATACATATACATGTTAGTGAGCTACATATACAGACATAGAGAGCGGGAGAGCAGAAGCCTTATAAACCCTAAACTCTAAAGTTTAGATAAACCGAAAGCAAAACGAACCTGCGGCTGGCCGAGGTTTGGAGCAAGTCTCGGGGAATCTGGATCGAGGACGGCGTCGTCCAGGAGATTTCCAAGGTGGATGTGTGGTCCCCTTAGCAACCTGCAGATCCAGTCTTGTCGGAGAGGGTGCAGCTGAGGGAGAGAAGTAGCATACAACAGGAAGCTGTTTCGAACAGGTCAATTAGTCCGGAATGCAAAACCAAAAGTTGTGTATATGGAAATTGCAAGCCGGAGAATTTGTTGATCCGCACATACATACATACATACATACAGACAGACAGACAGACATACGTACACAATATGTGTATGCATTTGTGCATGTGTGTGCATGTATGCCTATCTAATTATCGCGCTTCTATCCCTATTCATGTCTGCAGCTTGCGATTCGAGTGTCGCGCAGAAAAGAATACCCATAATCTCCAGACCCCTGGAATATCTGTATCGGGGAGCAGAGAAGATGGAGATTGGGCAATGCGAAACATCGCCCCGAGGCAAATTCTGGGTGAGCCTATCTACAAGGGCTCCGTGTTTGTGGTCTTTAACGAGGGCAGCAACTCGAAGTGGGCCTGGCTCTTAGCTCTTCTCTATTCCTGTGTGCGCACACCAGACAGCTTCATCTTCAAGGCTGCAAGATGTATCTGATTGCAGTCCAAGCAGGCTCTTGGAACCTCCCCGAACATGCAAGTCCGATAGGCCGATAGGTACTACAGTCGAGCGCACTCCGTGACCGAAAGACGTCGTTCCTAGCTTCTGGGAGGTTCGCCCGACCGATATCCAGCGGCTTCTTCGGAGGCCCGGGGCTTCTCCGACAGCTCAGGCCGGCGATGGACCAGGGAGGGAAGATGCAGATCCTATGTGCATTAGCAGGTAGCATCAGGGCCTTGCGCCAAGCCCCGATACCCCAATGGTTTCAGTGTTAAGCTTGGAACTCTACGAAATGTCTCGTGAGAGCTACTGTTTGTCAACTGTGGTATAGATTTGGATGCCAAGCCAGGGTTTTGAGACAGGGTTTCTTTGCTTTTTGAGTGTCAGGGAAGAAGCTCGCCACTAAGAGTTTCTGTCACCGCTTGGAGCTTCAGCGATTCGGCACAAGGAGTTGAGAGTTGATTCATACAGGCAAAAGCACTTTGTCTTGGATCCAGAACCTCGTGCTGTCGAACCTATAATTAGGCCTTGCCCCGGCCAACTCAGACTCGGTTACAGTTCCTGTTTACAGGATGCACGCAGACACAGAGCTGCCGTTGACACTTCTGAGATCAGCTCGCAAGAAGGGCTATAGATAGGATAAGTCTCCACTTCGGCGCTTGCAGCCCACGCGCCAAGCCCCCTGCTCCTTCACCTCAGCATTCCCAGACCAATCGTCTCCGTGATTTCGTGCAGGCAGCTGCCACAGGGAGTCCCGCTGCTGGGGCGGGCACACCCATGGCCCCGGGCACAGGCGCGAGTCCTCGAAACTTGTAAAGTTTTCTCGGCTCCTTGTATGTTTTGGCCATAGTTGTCCTTGAGGTCATTATTACTGTCCCGGGGATGAATTAATAAGGTTGCCATCGTTCTGGAGCTGTAACAAAGCCATGTATCGGCTCGCAGGGCCAGAGCTACCCATGCAGAGTCTTTCGCGTGAAAGGACTTGCGCAGGCCCTTCGCCTGAAGAAGTCAACACAGCGCATTCGTAACATTCACATCACGGTTGATAGGAAGGATTGGGGCAGCTGCAGAGCCATGGCCATCAGCAAGAACAAGAAGAACAGAAACAGAAGGCGGCAGCGGCTACAAGCCGAAGTTGATGAGTCCGGCAGTTCAGAGACGATTGAAGCCGAAGTGTTTGGCAGCTCAAAGACAGGGAAAGATGGAACTGAAGAGCAAGCGCCTAATGCGGATGCTGTGGCAGAGCTTCAGGAGGAGCTTCGGCAAGCAAGAGGCGATTTGCTCGCGTTGAGCAAGTCCAACAAAGGCCTCTTGACTCAGCTCAAGCGGGCGCGCAGCTCCAACACAGCCCTTCAGCAGAAGTTAGACGACCAGACCCAGATGCTTCAGAAGGAGCAAGAGTTCAATGCAGCTCTTGTGGATGGTCTGCGTCAGCAAGGTACGCGGACATGCTCCAAAGCTTCTGACAGACATGAGACAGTTGCTTGCTGGGAGTATTTGGAGCAAGAGCCGGACGCATGGAGACGATATCTCCCAGATGCGGAAAAGGCCCTGGAAGAAGCACGCTCGGACAAACTGCCGGAGCTGACTATCAGTAGCTCGGGCTTCAGGTATCGCATCAACTTGTCCGCCATGACACAGACAAATGTGGAAACAAGGAGGACGTGTACGATCCGCAGACGAGAAATTCTGTTGCACGCTGATGCTGTGCTCAAGATGACTACGGAAACCCAGACTTTGCGTGGAGAGAACCAGCGATTGATTGTCGACCTCTGCAGGAAGTCTGACGAGATCCTAGCCTTGGAACTAGACATTCGGGGCTTGCAAGAAAATATCGAAGCCAAGACGGACAGCATCCGGAGCTTGAAGGCAAAGATCCGGAGCTTGAGTGGGGAGATCGACGAGTTGCATGCTAGCCACGAGCGAACGGAAGAATGTCTCGTTGAGGCAAAGCACACCGCCAGAAAGCTGGAGGTGCGGCACACAGAGCTGCAGTTTGAACATGATTCAATGAAAACGAATATGGAAAAGCTTCAGTCGGCTTTGAAGCAAGAGAGGCAAAAGCTATACACAACAGTCCTTTCCCAACTTCCGCCAAAGCCGTTGAATGAAGCAGCGAGGGGATTTTGCAGAAGCTTGGACATTGATGATCCGAAACATCTTGCTCTCTTGGAGCAGTTTCAATCATCGATGGCCAACCATCGCCTGAAACTTGGCTCAGACCATTGGTGCGAGCCAGCAAAAGTGTCTGTGACACGCATCGAGGAGTTGATTCACCCTGCAAATCAACAACTTTATGAAGCGATGCGTCGTATGAGAGCGAGTGAAGACAGCTGTCGTGCCTGCACTCCAACTGCCGGCATCACTGCCTTCAAGTGCGAGGTCCAGCCGGGTTGGGTAGATATGAACGAGTACTTACTCTACCATGGCACCAGTAGATGCAATGCAGAGCAAATCATGGCTCGGGGCTTTGATGCCCAGCGTGGTGGAGAGTCAACAGGAGCGATGTTCGGTAGGGGTGTGTATTTCGCACAGAACGCCTCCAAGTCTGATCTCTATACAACTTGTGATTTGTGCGAAGGCATTGGCAACCATGACTTCCGTCAATGTCGCCATGCCCAAGGTGAGAGATGCATCTTGGTCACAAGGGTGCTACTGGGAGAAAGCAAGACTGCCAAGAACAGCGGCGGAAAGGATCAGATTCGGGCTCCACAGCGTGATGACGGAATATCGTACGATTCCATTACAGCTTTGGAAAAGGGGGAAGGAGGGGTGTTGGACCATAAGGAGTTCGTCGTGTTCAAGGACCGGCAGACGCTCGCAAGCTTCCGGATCTTTTACCGGCACGACTCCTCATGCTCATGCAACGGCTGCCAGCACCGCAGATCAGGCACCTAGTCACCTAGTCAACCTGCATCGTTGGCAAGGTCCAACTGGCCACGATGTTTTTTTGTAATGACCTCGCTATAGAAATGTCCGAGTTGTGCTTATTGATGCAGTCTGCAGGCGTGCACCCGAAGGAAGCTGTCTCTCCTTGCTTGAGCGCTGACCCGGCTTCCGGGCTTGACTGGTTAGGGCTCCCCGACTCCCCGGCATCCCAAAATACAACATAGTATGATCTTTTATCACAAGCACACTACTATACCATGCTATAGTCGTAAAATATTTTCTGGAACTGAAGTCCAACGGCACGGATTGTGTAGTGGTCTACTACGCACGGGGCACCTGACACCTGATGAGTAGTCGAGTCCGGAAGTTGGAGCCTTGGTGTCGCGGTGTAGCCATGGGGAGGGTAGACGGTGCAGAATCGAATCTCATATGAAATATGAAATCTTCTGTTACGCAAATTATATGCTGTTCTGTTCTACTAATTCTACCATACTCTAATATCATCAAACATACTGTAATACAAAGCGATATGCGACAATGCGTATCGTATCTCAATACGAGTTTGTCTTTAACCTTAAATCCTAAACCCCGAACAAAAGTTGTATGAGGCTGATCTTTATTGCTGGCACAGTTGTTTTGTACTCCAGGTTTCCTCGCTTGTGGGCATAGATCCTTAGCCATGCGAGGGGGAAAAGCCCCAAAGAAACCCTGAAGCCCTGCACAAGGCTACCCGGCTCCTGCAGATGCGGCGCAGGATGAAGTCAATCCCGATGACAGGACCGTGGGACAAAGCTTCCTGACGTCTCCGTCGCAACGGACAGTCATTCGCGGCGCGTGGACACCTACGCAGACCCTATATGATAATCGTAAATCACTCTAAAGGTCTTGTTGTCGCCCTAGTCACGACCATATATCTTAATATAGTCATCTACGGTATGGGAACGTCGTGATGTAACACGCACAAGAACAGTTTGACATGAGCTATCCAACATGAGTTTGTAGCCATAATCTACAATCGTAGAGCGCTTAGTTCAGTATGCTATCATTGGTCTCGAGCAGGTTGTCCCGGACTCTGTCGCAGCGTGCTGGCTCCTAACTCACCCCATTCTGAATTCTATGGCATTTATTGGGTTTTAGGACTTTGCAGTATTTTGTGCGATCAAGCCTGAATGCGGATCGAACTTCACAAGCCAAGTTAGCCCGGCGTGTGGCGGCTCGTGGTCATAGTAACATAATTTATCGTTCAAGCTGATTTACCTGTTACTACCGTACACTACAGGGTTCAAAGGGCCCAACAATTAGGTACTTGAGTTTCGGATAGTAGTCATGTAGGTTTATTTGCGTACATGATAATTAAATTATGAGGTAATTACCTGGACCCATAGGGTTAATTCCTATGTTACAAACCCTGAAGCCTGGCAACCTTGAAGCTTGAACTCCTGAGCAATGATAATGATGCCATGGCTTCTGGCCTTCTTGGTCTCCGTGGCACGGCCGGTGAAGATCTATGATGCGAGCAACTACTCCGCCGTGGCTCGTCCACAAGTTGTTCGGTGCAGGAACTAGTTGTGCAATTTCGTGAACGCTTTGTATTTGCACAGCATGTGCTTTGCCTAGAAGTCTGCAACACATGCCGATGTCTATTCTACCTTTCAAACGGACCGTAAATCCTAACCTCGCTGAAAGGCTTTAACCACAGCTTAAATAATTAGGCCCCAAGAGTCCCAAGAGCCTTACACATAGCAAGTCATGTCTGCACTGAACCTCCGGATCCGGCAACGTGGATTGTGCGAGATGTCTGTAGGCATGCTCGTTCAGGCCACTTCTGACACGAGCGCGTCGTGTCGGGTTCTCTACTGGCCGCAAACCAGCCGAAAATCGGGTCCTCTTCCCCAAGGGGCTGCCGACTTCTTTGCAGCTTGACTCGAAAGTCATGTGGCTTTGCTACTCAGGGTCTTTGTGGGGATCGAGTTTACGCGGAATCTGCTGTCTACCGGCCCTGATCCGGAGACGGTGATGCCAGGATATTCGGTTCTCTAGGTGAGCTTGTGGATGGACGCCCTTAACCAAAGCCCTGCAACTTTTCTGGCCCGACACTGCCCAGGACATCATAGTCACGGATGATGTCAAGCAGGCCCCATGGTTGGGAGCAGAAGGAAAGATGTTCCCTTGCAGCATCGCAGATGACTCGCCTTGCCTGGCCATGCTTTTGCATCAAGCTTGTACCGAGGGCTCGGACACCTAAATCCTGCGCCCTTCTACTCCCAAATGTCCGGTTTCCCACTGCTCGTTCAAGGTACTTTCTGGAGGACCGGAACTTCCCCCTTGGTGACCTCTCAAGAGAGCTTGCGCAGCCATTTGCCATGCACTAGTCACAGGGCTTCCCTCGAATTTCGGATTCTGCGTTTGACGTTGGCGGTTTTCTACTCCATCATTTCTACGAAGTCTGTATACATGCAACAAACGTCATCAGGGATGAGTTCTTTTGCAGCTCATGACGAGCTAGATCCCAAGTAGGGGTAGCAGATGTCGGTCGTGGAAGCTTCGAGTTTTCGGTCCCTGAACCCCAAACCCTAAATCGATGTAGGCAGAAAAATCCTAAACCGCTAAGCCTCGCCGTGACCTCTGGTGCCCAGGCTCAAGGAAGCAGCGCCCATCGAGTGGCGCCGGGAGGGCATGTCTGCCGGGCACTTAGCAGAGGTCCTCATTTTGCTTATAGAGTGTTAGAACATGTATACATGTATATGTATGTGTATATGTATATATATATATATAGATAGATAGATAGATAGATCGATAGATAGATCCATAATCTATCTCATCTATATATGTATAGCGAGAGAGAGAGAGAGATACACAAGCATACATATATATATATATATACACACATACACATATACATATACACATACATATACAAATACATATACATACACATACACATACACATATACATATACATATACATATACATATACATATACACACACATATATATAAAGATATTTACAGATATACATGCATAATATGATATACTCTAATATAGTATACCCCAGAGGAAGCTTTTTGGGGCTGGCTGAGAGTTTGTGAGCTTTTATCATCTGGGTTGGCGTTGGGGATTTGGTGATTTTCAGGCACCAAGTAATAGAGTTGATGGCAAAATACTGCATGGTTTCCTGGTTACGGCAACCTTAACTGAGTTGCTTAACAAGAACCCAGATTGGGGTCGGAGGTCCATGCCGTGTGTGTTATTCGCCTCCGTGCATTCTGCTGACCGAGAGGGTCCGGGCTGACCTCTCCGCTAACGGCACGGTAAGGTAGTACATCAGTTTCGTCTAATGCAGCGGTTCAAACAGCGCTCGTACACTGCCAGCAACCCAGGTCTTTCTGCCAGCTGGTGATGCGCATCGCCAGGCAGCGGGCAGTGTTTCACTCTAACTGTCTTCCGAGATGAGAATAGACATCCTGCCAGCCAATCCTGTAGCCAAGCCGAGTTGGCCAAGTCATGCTTTCAGTTACTACTTCGAGCACGACCCCCTGTCGCGACAAAACTGTTTGTGTTGGGTGATTGACATTTGATGTAGGGGTCGGAATTACTGGACATATCATTCCCTTGTTTTCCCTGCATTGTTTTTGTATAATATACCCCCCCAAACCCTGTCAAAATTTTGCAAGCCCCTGTATTATCTTGATAGGAACGGGAGGAGGCGCAGATCCTCATGCCAGCCAGCGACACGGCAGAAAATGGATGGTAGTGCAGGCGTAAACAAAGCGCTGATAATCGGGCATGCCAGTTTGCAATATGTCTCTTCACAGTCCTGTGTGGCTTCGACGAGCAGCCTAGGCTATTTTATCGACGATGGAACGTTCGAAACCCGGCACCGGGCCTTCAAGAACTTCACCTTCTCCGCTCCTGGGTCAGAATGCAAGATCCTTTTTTGGGGGAGGTCAGAGTCGGAGTCGGAATTCCTTCTCCTGCAAGCCCCCCCTTCCCATCCTTGGGGGTTTAGGGGTAGTTCGGCCTGTTGCTTTGCCTTCGTCTGTTTCCAGATAGAGAGCTGGGTCAGCAAGGTACTGCTGATGCTGGACTACGACGACGCTTGGCACTATTCGGGCAGGGGTGCCGCTGCAAGCCGGAGCCGCAAGCAGTTGCACCATGATGTTCATGAGAGGGTGCGTTTTCAGGTTGGCACTCCACCACAAAGCCTGGTCGACTGCATGTCACATGGAACTGTACCCATCATCATCGGTAAGCACCACAAGACGCTTGGCAGCAACTACATAGCAGCGATTCGTCGTTCATACCTCATGCTGTCCGGCGAGAGAAGTCATTGCAAGTATTGTTTTAAATTCTATGGCGGGATCATTGCGAACGGGCCCAGAAAGGCCCTAAAATAGCCTAGTTCTATAATATACTTCAAAACATTCCAAAATCCTGCCCTCAATATTAAGGCCCCAAGGTTACTGATGTCTGTGACCTCGAGACATGACCAGCTGCTTAGGATTGACTACACCCGCTACTTCTCCTACGCGCTGGTGAAGTTCAGAGACTTTTCGGTGGAGCAGGTGGTTTCGTTCTCGCATGTGCGTTTGTTGCATTGTTTGGACCCGAAGGCAAGATTGCCCCATGATGCCTTCACTGCTAGCTAACATTGACTTGTCGAGTCTAAGTGCGCAGAGCTTTATACCATGTTGCGGGCATGCACTGTACCGCGCGCACGATGGCGTAAGTCAAGTCTGCTGTCGCAACCTTGAACGCGCAAACCGGTGACAGGCTATGTTTAGGGCTTAAGTATTCACCAATGCTATTTTGGTATCCCCAAAATCTATTCTAGTTATTTAGGCCCCTATATTCTGCAGCGTGGCCTCCCTTCAGCCCTGTTTGACCATGAATGTGAGTGTCGAAGTCTACGGAAGGCCATCAACTTCATGTTGACAGCCCCTGCCGATGCGCTGTACGTCTACGCCAACTCGGTGAAGATTGTACAGGAGTTCTTCTACATGAGGCTTGGGGCTTGTCACTGGGTCACAACAACCGGTCATGACGGTCATGGAAGCACTTGCTTAGACAACATATGGGTAGTTGTGTAAATTAGAGTCCCTTGTAGGGTACTTGTTTATAAGGCTGCCATACCAGTTTTGGAGCTTAAGACGAGACCCTATAGTTTCGAGAACTACCCATATCAGAGCTGCGCGATCTAAGTGAAAGTCGTCAATTGCTTTGGAAGCTTCAGTTGAAAGTTGGGTGCGCAGTACACGTACAACAACCCTCTCATTACCATTATACTAACCCCTGTCGAGCCCTAATGGTAATCCTTACATGTAAACCCCTGTCGTAAGGCTTCTCCGCACATATGCGACGGTTTTTTTCGTCGACGCAGCTTAGATTAGATACTACTATCATGGCCGGCTCAGTGTTGGCTTTGTTTGGCTGAGGGGCTGCCTAAATGTGACGGTGCCATGGTGGTTAAGCCATTCTACGATGATCTCTGACAGCACACCGGACTCTCCGCAATCGCCGTTCTTTATGGCAGTTGAAGTTTGCTGACAGGATCAGTATAGCGGGTCTGAATGCTTGGAACAAGTTGGCCAGGTACCGGCACCCTTTCCATCTTCGCTTGCAGCGACATGCGCAGATGGCCTCTTGGGAACAGCCAGCTCGGGAGTTACTCATCTAGTGTCCTTCCTCACTACAGTTGCACTGTCAAGCCTTGAATACATGTACTGTAAGGCACCGGCCTTATCCAGCCCGTTTCAACGAACGACTAACTAGTCGGCAACGTTCATCCCACAAATCCCTGAACCTCAGCGCCGCATGGTTTCAGCAACTCAGGCCTGCCATGCACTGAAGAGCCCAGCGCCTGCACTGGTAACTCGAGCAAGAAGGGAGAGTAGAGTAACTGCGAGAGGGGAGATGAGCATGTAAAATACATATGTTGTATACACATCTGTACTGTGGTACAGTATGCATATGCACATCTATATGTACGTAGAAAGATTGCTCAAGTTGTCAGAGTCTTCTGTGATGATAAACTGAGGCATTCGTGGCCATCTACTCTGCCAAAAAGTCCCTCCACTCTCAGTTCAGGTTTTCTGCTTCTTCTTCGGTTTGAGACACTTGTGCTTGTACACTGTACACATGCATAGTTCCTGGCGATCGAACAATCAGGAATTTCGGCAGGCGTATGGCGCTTCGAGACACCTGGTTGCCGTTGCTGAAGGCTCATGGCCTTAGTCACAAGCGCCCAGGCATGCTTGAGCAAAACTTTGCGACAACGGAAGAAGCGAAGCATAGGTTCAGAACCTGTCCTCCAGTTGCCACATGCTGCCGAAACCGTTTGGTCCTCTCCGAGCGGGGAGCTGCTTTTTACTGATTTTTGGTTGTTCCTGTCGCAGACAACATGAGGTTTTTCCTGGCGGGTACAGAAGTGGACGACCGGTCAGAAGTCGATTCGCTGCTGCGGCGCGAGCGCGATGTGTTCGATGACATGGTCTTCTTGACTGGGACGACGGATGAGTACCCTATTGGGCGCAAGGGTCTTGCTGCTGTTTTATGGGCCGCACACAACACTGAAGCCCAGTTCTGGTTAAAGTTCGACGATGATCTATACGTCCGACCACATCTCCTGCTGAATCGCTTGGCCAGTTTGCAGCGAGCGGAACTCTACTGGGGTGCCTTCGACTACAGCGGAATGGTGGTGCGAGACTTGTCCGACCCACACTACACTCCCTACGATGTCTGGCCAGAGCCTAGGCCGTTCCTGAGAATCTTGAGTTTTCGCGGAACCACGACACCCTGCCATGCCGACTCGTAGTAATGTAATTAGTAATATTGTTCCTAAACTCCACCATTCCTGAATCCCTCATCATGCGTGGGCTTTCAAGCTCAACCCCTTTTCTGCAAGGGACTCGACTGCTGGCCTTACTACCTAGCTCGACCCATCGCGAGACAGGCCACTTCGCGTCTCCAAGCTTCAGGCACAACTTGATAGCTCAACCCTACACCCCAAGACCATTAAACCCCCAAGCCCGAAACCCAGCCGAGGAGCCGGTATTCCCTGCCTATGCTCGAGGTGCCGCTCTGGCGATGTCTATGGACCTGGTGCGCTTGATCGCTGAGCACGAGGAGAAGCAGCCTTTCAAGAAGATCCGGGTGGGATCTCAGCCCAAAACCAGACCATGGACTTGCAATTTGGGTGAGAGGGAACATGGATGTGGGACTTTCTTCACTGAATCCGAGATGACCTGTGGATTAGTCGGGCTTTCCCATGTCCACTCCCCTCCTGTAGCAGTAGTAGCAGCAGTAGCATGTGCGCTTGCCCACTATCATAGCTACCTGGAAACTACCTCCGATATAAGCTGTTTGTCTGTGCTTCGAATGATTGGAGATTCGAAAAGGCTCTCGGGGTATGTGTTAAAGTTAATACAAGCGGGTACAGACTACTAAGGGAATGTTGTTAAGTTCGCCTGAACTGTTTCGGTTGCCTGCCCTGACGAGGTCGAAGATGTCTCCTATGGCTTTTACCTTTGGCAGCTGACGTATGACAGGAAGGTTACCTCTGTGACCATCTTCGACCGAGACGAGGCCGCGGAGGTGTACTATGGGGCTGTAGAGGTCTGAATAGTTCATAACATCATCCCCTTATGGTCCTTCCCAGCCTCCTTGTCATGCTCAATCAGACTTCGTGCTTTGCCGTAATGTGCCGGTAAAGGCTCGTCTCGGATGGATGCAATCTTTTTTCGCTGTCCGGTCCAGTGAGACCGTGAGGACCACTTCGCCATGGATGCCAAGTGCTGCACGGAGGTTGCGGCCTTAGTGCATTCAAGCATTACTAAAGCAGAAGCAGCGAGTAAAGGATGTGTGTTTGGGGTGGATGTTGTGGAGTGCAGTGTATGGTCGGGGTGTCTACGTCAGCTTAACTCAAGAAGGGTCGCTCGAAGCCACGTTGCAAGGCATTAACAGCGTTCTGCCCGGGACCAGCCCTCACCCCTGTCGCTTGAAGCTGCTCTGCTCCTTGCCGAGGCAACCCATCCGAATAACTGCTGGCTGCCCCTCAATGAGTACCTCGTCCAGTTCGGTTTGGTTTTGGTCGTGTCTAGACCGGAAGACGGTCTTACGGAACCTTTGAAGCTTCGAGAGGCTTCAGCAGAGCCTAGGGCCTAGAGAAACTGAGTCAAGCCTTCAATAGATCGATGTCGGCGGGTGTTGCTGTCAGGAAGACGTGGATCGCTCACCACGTCACTCCCAGCACCATCCGCTGCATGTTTGCAAAGGACTCCCGGTAATGTCAACCCCATGCAGTTCGGTGGTGGTAGGTCTTCAGCCGCTTCGGTCCAGGCTTGAGAAGTCGATCAGCAAAGACGACACTCTCCAAAAACATGCGAAGTAGATTGCCACCCTGGAGGATCTGGGATCTGGGTTCTACACTCCATCAAGCTCAGAGGCACGAAGCATGTGCCTTGGATCTGAACCGTCGCAGTGTCAGTCGCGAGAGACGAGATTTCACAGCAGCGCACGAGAGAGCGAGCACAGCGACCTTATGAAAGCACTTGTCCCCAGAATGCCCTCCACTCTTCCAACTCCCTTACTGAAATACCTATACGACTGGGGAGTATGAGACTCCTTTAAGGGGTGCCTGTGGCATGTCCGCCCAAGCCCCAAGCAAAGGACAGGGCTTCTGGCCGAGATGGCGGCGTTCGACTCGCACGTCCAATCCGCCACCGGCACCATTCAAGGAGGCACAGAACCCTTAAGAAACCTTACCTACCCAAAATTTCGAAACCCCATGAAACCTGTTTGTAACTCCTACTATTACTAAGTCCCTGAACTGTCCAAATAGCCCTAAACCCTAAACCTCCAAATAGGCAAGATCCCGACTTCTGGGGCTGGACCTCCTGCGGACCTTTGTGGCTGTGTGGTCACCCCGCCTGCACACCCAGGCAAGCCCCTGCGGCTGGGTTGCGCTTCAGTAACATATATATTTATGTGCTTATATACTCAGACTTGTGTGTTTGTTAGTTTAAGCATATATGCATGTATGTATATGTGTTTCTATTCAGGTCTGCATTTGTTTTCCTAAGCATATGGCCCTGTCTTCGGACCTCAGACTTAAAGATCAAGAAGAGCCCAGGCAGAGGGGAGGCATGACGGAGCTGAGTAGCGGACCAAAGCTTCACGTCGGATAGCGGCGCGCGCTGTCCGAAAAGGGGTGCTGAGCTCTCTCGGTCCTTCTCTCTGGGACCAAGTATGGGTGTACTGCGCGCATATGTATATATGTATGTATACGTGTATATATATATATACACACACACTACATATACTGGTGAGTTCATGTACGTGTTGGTTCATATATATATATATGTGCTGCGGTATTTAGATACTTTTACAATTCGTAGTTCATTATGATTCGTTATTGTTATGATTACCACGGCTACGATGACAACGATTATTGGTACGATTGTTGTCATCGTATAGGACTCGAAGTGTAAAGCCGTTGAGCGTTCTGGCCTCCACTTCGCCCAGAGGCTTACAGCCAGGCAATCTTGAAGCTCCTTGCAACAGCTGCCTGGTATCCCTCTACCCTATTAACCCTAAATCCTAAGCCCCTTTTCACGCCGACCCAGAACTATGGAACTTCGCCTGGCATGTCCGAGTTGCGAGAGCGTAAATCCTAAACCCCTAAACCTCTAAACCCTAATCCCTATAAGCTCTAAACCCCCTAAACCCGAAACCCCGAACCCCTATACCTTCAACCCCTAAATCGCGAAACTCCAAACACTATCATCGGACACAGGACCGCCGAGCTTCAGGCCATCCACCAAGCTTTCCAGAAGGACAAGCGGAGCTATTGCGACGAGTCCTTCCCTCCAACAAAATTTGGCCTGGCCCTCGGGGTTTAGGGTCGAGGGTTTAGGGTTTAGAGGGTCACTTCGAAGTTGCTTTGGGGTGGCTGTCTACCTGAAACTGCAGGGCAAAGGACATTCTGAGAGGAAGTGAGCTCGGCTGTTGCTTCGAGTGGACCTCTGAACATTGCGAGCTGAGGGCGCGTCTCGAGGTGGTGCAGGCTCGTGAAGCCAAGCTCCTCTTGTATGGAAGGTATAGCTCATCAAACGAGAATGCGCTGAAAGAGCGAACGGTTCCGCTGCTTATTGCTCTCGCACGTGATCCCGGAGGCCTCACGAAATCGGTGCCCACGACGACCGCATCCTTTGGCGTCGCGAGGACACGCATTGCGTAGCCCTAAATCGGACAGGACCCGAAACATCGTGAAGTCTCAAGACACGCCGAAGCCTCAACCTCCCTGCGATCCCTTGTGAGCCCCTGGTCAAATTTAATGCAGGACTGGCAGCTCTTCCGTGGCACTCCCAGTGCCGATGACGTCCAGCAGGGCGAGTCCGCTGCCCAGAGTTAAGGTCTTTAGAGCTCGGAGCCCCGAAGACCTAATACCTACCCACGTGTTTGATGACTGCTGCAACTGCTGCAACTGTCCCCTTTACATTCCCTTCTCATTGCTGCAAAGTCACAGTCGTCTTCCGCAGAGGTCTTCTCCCCCCGGTGCCTCGCCGTCAGTCCCCATCAAGGTCCGATACACAACCCTACCAACCAACCCACCCCCCCCGCCAAGTTTTGCCGGAAATATTCCTTAAGTCTCCCTATATACCAAGCCCTATCGAACCCGAAGACCTTGTCAAGTCTCCAAGCATCCCAGGTTAGGAGCGCCTCCTCCAGCTGTGAAGCCCTATACTATACAAAACACCCAAGCTCCCCAGGTTGGGAGACCGCGATAAAGCCTTGTTGGCCCTGAATGACTTTTATAATCACATACGCATGTGTATGTATGTATATATATATACACATGCGTACATAGATAGATAGATAATTCGATACATAGGTACATAGATAGATACCCAGGTTGGGAGACTGCTGGTTCCTCTCTTCGCTGGCTGCCATGGCCGAGTTTCAGGGCGGAAGGCTGGTGCAGAGGCCATCGGGCACTGTGGAGGTTCTCCCTGGACCTAGAGCCCAAGCGCTCCCAAGCCCCAAACCTAAAGCCCCACCCGCTAAGCCCTTTAACCTGCTTTTAAGTGGGTTGGATTTGATTATCCCGGTTAATGGGGTCAAGTGTTGAATAAACCCGGCTTTCTTGGAATACCCGGTTATTCAAAGGAAAGCAGGCTTATGATTTCGATACATCCCATGAGGGCCTTCTAGACATAGAAGATCTTGCTTCGAACACTCCTCTTGAGCATTTTGCTTGAAGAAGGAAACGCCTCGGCCCTTCTTTTGATCTATTATAATAATAACATAATGAAGATCGAGTGTAGATGTTGCAGAGGTGCATACCTGATTCTCAATACGTGTTCTGCATGCAGACTACCGAATGACTTAAGAATGTATGCTAGATGGTCCCTTCGTTCTGGCCCATGTGTGATTTCCACCTCGACCTGGGAAGCGACACAGCCAGGAACTCAATTTTTGCTCCGCAGGATTCGCATCCTCCACGTCAGCATTTGTCCTGCCAGGGTGTCGCTATGCAGTTTTGCTTTGGAATAGCACTCCTTCGCTCGATAACCGTAGCATTTAAGCTCACAGGGTCTGTTCGGCTTAGCTGCTGTTCGTGCACCATGGCCCGGAACACGGCTTCGAAAGGGAAGAAGGAGACGAAACCTTACGAAACGAATGGCTTGGCTATGAACTGGGAAAGCAGTGATCAGTTGCGCACCCGGCTGAGAGAGCAGGGCAAACTGATGATGCATCCGAAGTCTCAGAAAGTGGCTGCCAACACGATCAAGAATGCAATTCTGAATGTGGAGGTTTTGAAGCCTGCTGTTGTGAGACTTAGGGCATCCGGGGGCAAGATGACTGTTATCGATGAGCTCATCACTGAGTGCGCGGCTTTTTACGCCAAAGTCGGCAAAGAACCAAACAACGATCTTGCTTGCAAGGACGCGTGGTCTTTGCGACGAAGGCTTAGCTGGCTCAAGCGGAAGGCCACTCGTGAGGAGGTCGGAAGGGAGTCTCTGCAGCAAGTATCTGATTGCAGCTTTGTTGTCGTAGTCGAGTCCTTGCCCTCGCATATGCAGTGATCCTATTCTAACAGTTACTGTGTGTGTGTGCTCTTTTGTGTGTGTGTGTATGTTAGAAGCTGTATATATGCTATAAAATATATGTATATATATACATATATATATGTTGTATATATATAATATATGTGATATACCTATTTATATATATATACACATGTATTTATGATTGTCGTTATAATGCTGGTATACATGCATGTTTATAGGCATGGTGTGTACATACTTACGCCTAGGCCTTCATCTTCCAAGACCTGGTGTTGCTGTTCAAGCCCGAGCTTCAGGACATTGATGCGATGTTGAGTTGGATTGCTAGTTCGGATCAACTTGCTAAATTTGTGCAGTCGCACCGTCACAGGAGTTGGTTGAACGGAAACGCAAAGCTCAGCAAGCAAAGCTTGCTGCAGACGATTCCAACGAGGCGCCCCGATGTACATACACCATCGATAATGCAGTATACAACTTGTAATCCAGCCCGGCCATCTCTCTCTATCTGTGGGTCAAACATGTTCATGCAGGCATGTATATGTGTATTTCTTCATAAATGCGTGTATGTACGCATGCACATCTTAATAAGATTATCTTCTTGCGAGGAAGACAGTGACGACGATGATGACGACATGGTGGACGAAAACATGAGCGAAAGTGACTTCAAGGAGTTCTCGGCCTGGCTCAAGCAAGCCGCCGAAGCACAGGCCCCACCGATCCAGAATGCCCCGGAGGCCACTGCCCCCGAGATCCCGGAGGCCCCCAACACAAAGCCCCTCGAGATCGAGAAGGCTCCTGAGATCATGAATCCCCCGAACCGAGACGCCTCTGCGATCAAGGATGCCCCTAGGAGCGATGTCGCTGCCTCTGAGATCAAGGGTGCCCCTAGGATCGATGCCGCTGCCCCTGAGATCACGAATGCCCCTAGGAACACTCAGGCAGAACCATCTCTCAAGAGGGCTCTGCCCATGAAGCAGCATAGCTTTGGATCCTTGAGTGAAGCTTCAACGTTTTCGCAGTGCAGACCTGATGGCTCGTGCAACTTGTTGGCACTCTGATGCTTGTGGGCTCCATTGTTTCAGTGACGTGCAAGCATTTACAGATCCACAACTCGAGTCCACCCAACCCTACTCCCCCCATTCACACATGAAAACAACATACTAATATATATATATAGATAGATATACGTAATAAAGGACAACACAGCAAATACATAAATATATATACATATATATATATACATTTACAAACATGTACATATACATATATTGCATACACACATCCAGCGCAGTACACACAAACACACAATAACCCAAGTGCAGAGACACAAAACGTGCATGTATTTATGTCTGGTTAATAATATTTAATAATATAATATAATATAGTATACCACATAATGTAATATGATATAGTATAATCTTTCAGCATGTCATATATATAATATAACATATAATATAATATATACACACACGCACTGACATACATGCATTCTTTGGCAGATGTATGTAACAAGTTATATCTGTGTAAATGTCGTGTGTATATATATGTGTATATATATATATATACACACATAGATATATATATATATACACACATACACGCTTTACTGTATTATGCAATTCTACCGTACGTAATGTGTGTATATATATATAGAGTGCTTTCTGGATGAGCAGGTCGATGGTATGTGTCACGCGCATGTTCTACAATTTAAAACTTGCTTCATGTTGTCGTGCATGGCGCACACACTTTCATGCTTTCTGATGAACCGAGGCACACGTGTAAAGACACACTGCGTGCATGATCGAAACATGCACACTATGAGGCAGGCATGGTCATTCATGCTGCGATGTTAACTTTCATTTGATTGGGGTATGACACACAACGGAATCCACTCTCTGTATTGTATGCGTGTATACACATCGGATCCCAGGTGACAAGTGCGGCAACGCCAACAAGCTCTTGCAGCTGATCCGTCAGACCAAGCTGCTCGTGCAGCCACGCCCTTAACGATCCGATTGCCCAAACAAAACGACACGTTGTCTTCGATGTGTTCGAAATACATGTGTGTATACATATATATATATAGACCCATGAATGTTACATCAACATGGCTGTACTTGGCACATCTCACGAATGAGCTGCAAATCGGTCCTTCCTAGGCAAAAGCGCGATCGAGCCAGCAACCCGGGAACGCCAGCAGAGCCGTCTCCTGTGCGTACGCCCGAGCCACGGCCAGAGAAGCTTGCTAGTGGCTCGATTCGAAGCTAAAGTCTGCATGAGGATGTTGGGGTAGTCGGTCTTTCCTGGATCAAGGTTTTTTTTTGAACTGCCGACTACTTAATAGTTCGGGCCTGTAATGCACTTGCTACGTGAATCAAGCCTTCCTCCCGAGTGTTGATCCCAGGCTTGCACTATGGCATGGACGATGATGACACACAGATCTCGCAGCTTACTCCGCCACCCGTGACCCCGCCTCAACAGGCCTTGTCTATGAAGGATGGACCCAAGCCTGCCGATGAGGCGAATGAGATTCGAGCTCTGAGTATTCAGCCTGTTCTATCGGAGAAGCGCCCTGAACAGCCGCCCGCGGTGCTTTGCTGAGCATATGTCCCTCCTTAATCGAACGTCTTATAGTGCCTATGTTAGATAGCCCATCCGGATGTTTGTTCATGCGATGTTAAATTACTTTCGTAATGCAGGACATGTCGTGTTCGTGCCGCATCACTGAAACTCGCTGTTTGAACACATGTTTTCTCGTTCGGTCAGGTGCTCACCCGCCGAGACCAGCTCGGTGCGAAGGAGATGAAGAAGCCTGAGGTGGCTTCTGCTCCGCCCCCCAAGGAAACGGAGGAGGACGGTCAGGAGGAAGCTGAGGAAGAGGACCAAGATGATGAAGAGGATGAGACAGGGGGGGACGAAGCTGAGACCCCCAAGGCCAAGGCTAAAGCTAAGTCAGCAGCTAAGGCTAAGGCGAAAAGCAAAGCAAAAGCCAAAGCGAAGGCCAAGGCCAAGGCCAAGGCCAAGGCCAAGGCCAAAACCAAAGCGGCCCCCAAGTCTTCGACGGGCAAGGGCAAGGGTGGGGGCCGAGGCAAGCCTGCTAAGGATGATGTCGCTGATCCTGGTGAGGCGCCTGCTGAGCCCGAGTCCAAGCCGAGCGATGCCACGAATGCCAAGCGCAAGCAGCCCCCCGGGCCACTCAAGGGAGCAGCCAAGTTTAAGGCTAAGGTCGCACATGCACAGGTTGATGCTGATGCTGATGACATCGATGAAACGCTGCTGGCTGAGATGGTTGACTTTGCCAAAGGCTTTCAGGGCATGCTTTTCAGCGAGGCTAAGGAGAAGCTCCAGAAAGAGAGGCAAACGTTCGAAGGGAACTTCATTTTCAACATGTATTGGGGGAGGCCTGCTGTTGGTGTGAAGTCCCTACGCTACGATCGGGAGGTTGGCTATTTTAGCCTGCCTAAGCAGACATGGAATTAAAGCATCAGCATTTGCCTCGCCGCTGCAAATGTTCTCGCAGCTTAGCTACTGGAGTGCATATGTTGTTATTTGTACTCTATGAAACTTTCTCTTCTTCGAAGATCAGTATATGTATCACGAACATGCAAGTCTGAAGCTTCTCCACTGCTATACAACCCTTACAAACCCTAAATCCCTAAACCAATAAACCCCTAAACAAATAAACCCAACTCAGACCTACCACTCCGAATAAATCCGAGGCAACCAAGATCTACCTGGACGGTTTGGACATGGATGACCGTGCAGGCCTCAAGGAAGTGGTTGTCATCAGGAACCACGCCCTCAAGGCCTGGGAGGCGATCACTGAGGAACGGGATGCCTAAGCTCGTCGAAAACCCGGTGCTTTTTGTGTAAGTAGATGCACAGTGCGACTCCGCACAGTGCAGCGTTTTATATGCCGATGTGACCACAGCTGGGTTGCCAATCATTGGGCGCCTGCTGGGATGCTGCAGATTTCGGGAGCGACAGTCCTGTGTTTCCTAACTTGTACGTACATACATACACACTCACACACACATACATACATGCATGCACATGTGCAGGCATCCATACATAAATACATGCGTACATGAATACCCACATACATGCGTGTACGTGTATGCACATACACACATGCATGCATGATACATGCATACGTTGGAGATGGTTTAGGGGTTTTATTTAAATCATAGCCGTTTCGTGTTTGTAACTGGGTTTAGGGTCATATTGGGTATATACGGTTGTAGAGTTATAGGGTTTCTAGGGTAGGGTCTATAGGGTTATATTTTAAGGGCTTAGGGGTATACTTGTATATGATACATCCTTCCATATTTGCAAGGCTACACAGCCATATGCACACAGGTATCTACACGATAAGCCATATTTACAGACACAGGTGTATGAGACTTTATATATTATATCCATTGTAGCATATGTATATAACTCCCATATACGACGAGTTCTCTTGGTATTTTAGGGGTATACTATATACTATATACTATATATATACATATATATATATAAACACACTCTTGAATAAGCTCGCGCACAGACTCCCCACACACGCACACATTGCACATGTGTGCGATCGTCTATGCACCGAGCCCGTCTTCTGAGTCACTGTCCAGAATCTTGGGTGCTAGATTGCTTCCTGTTACCAGGTTCAGGAGATCCCATAGATGTTTCTGTAAGGGTATGCGGAAGTAGCTTCTCGTGAATGTAATTAGACCATGGGTCGCAAGAAGCAGTCGATGCACCTTTGGGGTCGCAGCAAGCCAAGCTCGTACGCTTGTTACCCTAGCAAAGCTCCAGTGTTAGTGCCGCAGCCCGTCCCGATGTTCGCATGTGAAAAAGATCCGGCTTTGTGGTCTGTTCAGCACACACATGCACCGTGCAGAACGCTGTTTATCGAAGCTAGAAGCACCCACACAACCTGCAACAAAAAAGCAGCCGCCTAGGCCAGAAGCTCATGCCGGGTCGCAGTCGCAGAAGGAGCAACTTCTGGGCACTTCGTCGTGGCTTCCTAGACGACAGTGATAAAGAAGGCCATACAGGATTGGTCTGTACTTAGTATGTGCACAGAGTGGCTTCTCAGGGGACCGCTTGTAGGCAGTGAGCTCAGCTTTGAGTATGCTTGTTGCAAGTGCTCTGCAAAAGCCGCGCTTGGCTCTTTCGACTTGTGCCTGCATGGTGGGCGAATCGGTGTATATGTGTGTGTGTGTGTGTTATCGAGTGGAACATCATATCAGGAAGCTCTTGCCTGTTCGTATTTCAGTGGTAGCACAACGATGACAGACTCAAGTGCACTACTATGGCGCCTTGCTATGCTGGGATCCCTGAAGGTGCCTTATCTTCAACTCTTCAACTGCTACCCTGAAGTTTGGGCAACGATTCCCAACCCGGGCCTTCTCCCAGGTGCTTCTGCTTGCGGTTCTGCTCGTATCCTCGACACCCAGACTTTTCTGCAACGGAAAGGCGGGAGTGGGCCCAATACGTGTTATGGGGGTTTTGAAACATGCCGGGTGGCTTGTTATAGCCTAGGTGCTTACAGTCATCGAGCTCTTTGCTGGGTCGGCCACATTGATTACAATGATGAGGAAAGCAGGGCATCCTTCAGCACGACTGGATTTGAAAAACGCCACCCCTGAGTGCGGGTCGTCTATGGATATTAATTCCGCGAGTGGGATGGCGCTCCTCAATGTAAGTTTCATGTTGAGAATGCGAAACAGAACAGAGAATAAATGGAGAGACAGCTAGATAAAGCAACAAATCGAGAGAGAGCGCGAGAGAGAGAGAGAGAGTGTGTGTGTGTGTGTGCGGAGTTCAAAACTAACAGATACTCTCCACATTATGTGAAAAACTGGTGATAGCAATATATATATATATGTATGTATGTATATATATAATTAATTAATATAACTTATGTGTGTGCACATGTTTTGCTTGTTCAGTATATATATATATATAGCTAGACTATATACTGTTATAATAGAGAGACACAGACACAGAGACAAAAGAGAGAGAGAGAGAGAGAGAGTGAAATAAAGATGTTGCCAAGAGACGTGTGTGAGAGAGATGTGCAAGCAAGGAGGTTTACAGGCATGCTGTCTTGTAGGTTGTATAAGTGTTTCATCGAATCGATATATAGACATATTAAATATACATGCATCACAGCCAATGTGTTGTACGAGTTAGAGCACCAATGGAGCACAATCGGTCCTAGTGCTGCCAGAAGGCATGCACACAACTCTCGATGCTGGCACAACATGTAAACCGTCTGATATTTCAGGTCTGCTGCTATAGCTGTGCATGTAGTTCTGAGCATGGCGTCTTTTTGCTATAGACACAGCTAGACCTACCTTACTTTCATCTCCATGGTTCTACTGACTCTACTTCCCATACTATATCGTACAATGGGTTATATACATACCGGCCAGTATGTGGTTCCATCTAGCCAATGGGTTCAAGTTCTCTTTCTATCTCTCTCTCTCTCTCTCTCTGTCTCTCTCTGTCGCT